GCTTGGTCGGTTCTGGCGGGTTCTGCGGGCGCTTTTTCCACATGTAAGACCTGGACCGAGCCAGTCTTGGCGAATTTTTGGTGTTGAACCTTCTAAATTTGGGCAAAAAAACATGGTTTGTTAATTCGGGGGGTACTCCCCAAATAGGCATAGTCTGATACTTAAATGGTACCCACCCAAATAAACAGCCTAGGGGGCTTTAATCCAGGGTTGACATTATCCAAGTTTAAACCACAGCTGATTTAAGTAAGGATACGGATGAAGGTAACCATCAGGAGCTTTGGAATCGGGCGGGGGGGGTCACTTGGGTCATCTTGGGTCCCTTTTTGAAACTTAACCTGAGCCAACAAAACAGAGCTGTTTCATGCTATTTTAGGCTTCGTAAATTCTTGTGGCGACTGAAATTGGTTGAGCGCCATTGACACCGGAAGCCCGGGGAACTTTCCCTTACACCAAGTTGGATCAGCAAAAGACCCTTTCTGGAAAGGCAATCGGATTGGCACAAGATGTGGGGAAGCGAACCTCTTGACGCATGTTACTGTACCATCTGGTAATCAAACATGGCAATTTTTTCAATACCCATTTTACCATGGAGGTTTTTTTCTGGGAAAATCATCCATCAAAATGGTGACTCGTGTCCATTGCAATGGTCACCATTTTGCCCAGGGTTCCCCCCAGGGTTTCACCTGGTTTCACCCATCCCAGCCCTGAAAAACTCGCCCCGCTAAGCCCTGGAACTGAAGCAGCCGCTGCGCAACTTGAACGACTTGTTCTACGAGTCCCAGCCCGAGGAGTTGCCATGGATCCGCACGGAATGCGTCATCGACGTCATCCAGGGAGCTGCCTACCTGGGACAGGCCGTGGTCTTCCTGTACAAGGCTGGAGGGGATGATAGGGATGATGGGGTAAAGGTGGTTGGTTGGGGGAAGTCTATTTTTCATGTTCTTCAAAGAAATAGCTCTCAGTTGATCTCAGGTGCTGATTTTTCAAGTGCTTCGACTGTTTTGTACCAAACTGTGTTTTTCATGCTGATCTGTAAGTGGTGTCATAGTTTCATGAGGGGAGAACCACCAGTTGTGGGATCTTATGGGTAGCTGCAATATCCCGTCATATACATTGAGTACTACTCATCGTTTTTTTTCTGTCATATACTACTCATCGTTTTTGTTTGGCGATCCCATCGTTTTGTTTTAGCAGAGTGATGGACGGACCTCTACAAGTTATCACTGGCTTATCTTATCCCATTGAAGTGGGTGTGTATGTAGCATAACCAACTATTCTAGCTGATTTCTTCCCAACATTTCTATCTAATAACATCTTATAAGCCCCAGTCATGGTTTCGAAGCAATTTTTAATTCTTTGCCATTGACAAAACCCCTCGTTTAGCAATAGTAGTGGATCTATATATTCATCTATAGGGGGCCCAGTAATTGGCGCCGGGTAAACCATATGAACATTTTGCTAAATATCATAATATTCCATGCAACGGCATTAATAGCCCATCAACAGTTGGGCATCTTTATTTCCCCATTATATCCTCATTAGATTTCCCATCCAAAACCACCATGTTTTGTTGGTTAAAATCGACCGTTAGGTATCTAGAATAGTCCCTTGGATTGCTGGTTGGTTGGCAGGGATTCCTCATGGATTGTGATGATCCCCAAATTTTATTGCTAGATTTTGTACTCGTAACTAGTAAAATGGTTGGTATATTCCATATAGGGTGAATAGAATCCCGTTATTCCATACTATTCTGGTTGGTGGTTTGGAACATTTTTTTTATTTTTCCATTCAGTTGGGAATGTCATCATCCCAACTGACGTTCACTCCATCATTTTTCAGAGGGATAGGCTCAACCACAACCAGATTATTATTAACAATCATTAACCATATAATAACCATTAATATTAACCATTAATAGTATGGTTGAAACCACCAACCAGAATATTGGTTAGTATAATCCCCGAAGTCATGATCAACTAAGAGGCGTTGCCAAATGGCAGTTGTAAGTTGCTGATCTCATCCCTCTCCCCAGTTGGTCCCAGTTGCTTTACCAGCACATCAGATGTATCTGCCACAACATATTCAATCCACTTATAAACCAAGTTGGCAAAGTCGGAGCGCCTTTTTCTTTACCTTTCTTTCATGCTGTGGTTTCAATGGTGGTTTCTTAGGGATCGATTTGACCATATCTTTCCCATGTTTTTGCTTACGCCCCGAGAACCGTACGAGTAAAACGCAGGTTTTGACTTGCCACATGTTCATATTAAGTTGATGATGGGAGTGGGGTGGTGGAAAGCTGTTATATAACGTTCCATCATGTTACTTTGATGATCATGATCTTACGTTCATAATGCGGGTGGGGGGTGGGGAACTGTCAACATTGGCATGAAGGAGAAGAAAAGAGCTAGAGCGGCCCGGTTCGGTGTCATTATAAGCCAGATTGGCAAAACATTTGCACGGTACTGGTATCGGCAGACAAAAAAACAGACAACCAACTTAGTTCCGAAATCGACAAAGTTGGAGAAAATGATGGTGAGAAACTCGCAGGCCACATTTTCATCTGGGGATGCAAATGACATTGCTGATGAAATGAAAAACGCTGACAAAATTTGAGGTCTGGAATTTCAACATTCTTTCCATCCAAATTATATCCAACTGCCGGTGAAACGCTAGTTTTTCTCAAAACACAACCGAAATTCGAGCACTTTTGACGCATTTTGAAAACTTGCAAAACACACGTCCCAAAAACATTCCGAAAACCATGAAAAAACGGGGTATATCTTTATGTTTTCGTTGTGATTTTTTTCCGCAACCATCTTCCCCACCATCTTCCCATTCCCATCTCCCCGGCCGCAACCGCCTTTTTCAGCGCCCAGGCCATCAAGTACGACGGCATCCGCTGCCCTGACAACTCGCCGGCCGGCTGTGCGGCCAGCATCGCAGGCTTCATCACATCGGTGACCTGGAACCTGGGCGTAGCGGAGCTGGGGAATGGGAGGATGATCGTCCTAAGATTCAAATATGATGCTATTATTAATAGGAATACTATAGATAATCTTCCCATTCCCATTATCATATATATATATGATATATATATATTTATATGATGATCTATAGTAGATGTATATAGATTCATAGATAGTAATAAATCGATATTGGAAGTGTCATTTCATGTTTGATCTGGGGATTGGAAGCATAGATATGGGGCTAGCAAAGTGATGGTTTATGGAACATCCAAAAATAAAAATAGATCTGGTTGGTGAGATGCATGGAGATTTCATGTGAAACCATGTGAAAAACTGAAAAACCTCCATTAAAGTTACTGGTTGGTGGTTTAGAACATGACTTTTATTTTCCATTTCATATATGGGATGTCATCCTTCCCATTGACTAATATTTTTCCCATTGACTTTCATATTTTTCAAGATGGTTATTGCACCACCAACCAGAGATGATTTGGGGGTCCTCACATTTATGGACAATATTTGTACAAGCCACTATAGCCTATAACTATCGTGTTGGGATATAAGGACCGCTGAAACTGTACTTCCAAGTAACCACGTTGAGATGGGGATGATTTCGGAACCATAAATCCCAGCTATTTCGGTGTTCACCAGGATGCCAAGGTATTGATTGACCCATATCCACATATATCATTATATCATTATTTAATTAATTATATCTACACATAAATATGGACACATAGAAAGGTATTTCTTTGCTTGTCACTTAGAGTCGAGGCTTCCCACCATGTGATTTCTTCTTTTTCTTTTACTGGGGGACATCAACATCTTATGTCACACAAAAAAGATCCATGATGGCAAGGACCCTGTCAATGAAGATGTCTCAATTATGATCCTTTCGAAACATTGATGCTATGCCCACCCCGGTTGTTGTTTCACGAGCTCCAAGTTTGGCCATATCCTCACATTTCTGTGTGGGCTTTCCCCAACATAACGAAGCTACTGTTTTTTGGATGGTGTACAACACCCATATAAATGGCCATTTTGGGGTTGGTTTATCATTGGCTTTTTACTGTAATGTTTCTTCAAGTTCCATCAATGGAACGCCTAAGTGATGAGCAAGCCCAGGTTGGTCAATTTCCGTCTTTGTCTTTGACAGAACATTGTGTTGTTGGTGATACCGACATTTTTTGGGCAAAGAAAAACCCATCTGACCTATCAGTTTGCACCTGCATCCGACCTGGAAATCCTGGTTCCCAATGATCATTAGCAGCCTGGGCATTCTCGAAACCTTGGCCATGGCGAATCTCACCAAGAAGATGAGAATTGAGACATCCCCCAATTTTCTATCCATTTTTCGTGATTTTCATGGTTCCTCCATCCCAATTTTCAATGGTGAAATTTCCCAATATGATCAAATTTCATGATGAATTTTCCCAATTTTCCATGGTTCCTCCATCCCAAAATCATGGAAAATCTCAGGATCGCCTCCTACCTCTCCTTCGCGGCCAACGCCTGCGGTGCCGCTGTCAACAGCGGAGCCCTCTGCGCTGGAGACTGGACGGCCTTGATGGCCAACTTCGGCGAGATGGCCACCGTGGGCGCTGCGGTGAAGGAAGACTGCGACTTCGGCAAGGCGGGGGCGGCTGCGCCGGCGATTCGCAGGGCAAGTTGGCTGGGGAAACTTTATTGGAGAAGCACAAGAGGGGTTCTGAATGGTTCTTTTTTTGGGGCTAAAGGGAGCGGAACTTCTTTTTGGAGGTGTGGAAAGAAGTGAGTTGAGACATGAAAAACATCAAGGAGGGATTTGAGAGACTTGCGCTGCCGGAACTTGGAGTTGAGCGGATTGGTACTCAACGCAGGATTTAACCATTTAACCACCAACACCAATATGAGATCATCAAATCAGCAAAACTTGGGATTGAACCTGTAATATTTACCATATTTAAGCCAGAAATCCATGACCGTTTTATCAGACACCATGGCCTTTTTAAGCCGGCTGATGATGGTTTAAGCCGTCGGTTAAGCCTCCAGGATTGGTTGGCGATCTTGAAGATCACGGGCACGGATGATACAGGCCACGGCCACGGCCCAAGAATGGAGGTTTCGACCAAAAGTGGGGCCGGTTTTGGCCCTAGTGATCATCCATTTTATAGGATTTTCCAATGATTTTTGATTTTATCCATGATTTTCCAATGATTTATCCATGATTTTTGATTCATAGTGATCATCCATTTTATAGGATTTTCCATGAAACCCGCTGGGATACCCAATGGAAACCCCTGGCGTATTGTTTTTTTCTGGAAGTGGAAATGGTCGTTATCCCATGAGGATCCATTAACGTGGGCACAATGGAGAAAAACCGGTCATTTCGTCATGTTTCCACACCTTTTTCCGTCCTTTTTTTTGGGACAGTTTGGAAAGAACGGCTCAAAACCTTGTTATTGTGGTAAGGCCTTAAAGCCCAAAGCCCCTTTGGGTATGGTTTTGAACTGTTTTGAATACCTTCCAAAATAAGTCACTGGGTAAATGGGATGTTCCACCAGCGAAATCATAATGTTTCACGCTGACATACTCTCTTCCTCAAGACTCAACTCCCCACAGGCTTTATCCACCTGGCAACATTGTATATATACATAACTACAATAATAGTAATAGTCGTAATAGTGATAATAATAATATCATCATTATATAATCCGCACCTGTTGCTAGTTTTCGCCCATCTCTGGTTAAATTGTTGAGTCAACCCCGTTTTTTTTGTTGGCGACATCTTTTTGAAGTCCAAAGCATTTCTGTTTTGCTTTGTCCCATTGCTTTTGATTTAATCTCCATGACCCAATTTTTGCAACTTGTGGGGGTTGTCTCATTTATGTCTTTGAACTCCCCAGTTTTGCTTCAACAATTCTCATTGCTGGTTCGATCCAGATTTTTCTTGCTTAAAAATCAGCATCCGGAGGCCCCTCCCAGTGATTTTTTTTTTTTGGTAATATAGTTTATAAAATCTTATAAAGCCATAAATGATAGTAACAGAAAGTCATATCGTCCCTGATTTACCACATGCCATCTTTGTTTTTGCCGTGCGAGAAACCCCCTGCCGTTTCAGGCCCCGGCTGGAAGACCTTCGTCCCTGCGGGAGCCTTACCCACCGTGGAGACGGTCCAGAAGGTGGACGCACTTCGCACCGCAACTGGACCGATAGAGATCTTTTGGGCCCCAAGGGGGATGGAGCAGCACTTTCTGGGCCTTGGGGGTTCAGAATCATATATATATATATATATCTATATAATCTATATATAATAATATATATAATAATATGTAAAATAATGATATACATTAAATCATGCCTAGCAAAATCCAGCAAACTCTGAGTTTGACTTTTCCGACTTTTTTTTTCAATGGGTCAGAGTTGTTTTGAAGTTTTTGTTTGGATGTTTTGATTGTTTTCTTGCAAGTCTTGAGGCTTACCGATGATTAAGTACATTCTTTCATCAGTTATTTGAATCTAAGTTAATTGATGATTGTGATTGCACTACTTACAAGCAAATTACAGTACCTGATCTTGTAGACATAAAACCTCAACCACGACCATACCCCACATACCCCAGGCTACGAATTTGTGAATTTCATCAGGGACAGAATTTTGAACCTGCAAAGATGAAGAATTTTGCTGGTGGCGCCGTGGGGTTTAACCTGTTTCTGGCAGCAACTGATGGATAAAACAGAGCGAGCAAGGCTGGTGGCCAAGGAACTCAGGTTTTGTTGATCTCTTTTTACGACACACATTTTCTGCAGGATACCAGCTCGTGAGAGAATATGATATCATGTTGGTAAAAGAACAATAAACTACCCATTCGGAATGGTTTATATATACCACGGATAAAAATGGTGATGACTGGGGGATGGTGCAAATGACATTGTTTCAACATGTTTTAACCACAATATATATATATTATATATTATATATATTATATATATTATATATATTATATATATTATATATATTATATATATTATATATATTATATATATATTATATATATTATATATATTATATATATTATATATATTATATATATTATATATAATATATATATATGTTATATATATATATGGTCACTCCCCCCGCATGATCTACCTAGCAGCATGTGAAAACTGTTTTTTTTTTCCGTGTAAATTTTGGCATTTTTTTTGGCATAAAATAGTATCCTCTGGTAATTTAACAGTTTGCGAACTTGAACATGGCCATAGAAATAGTGAGTTTTCCCATTAATAGCATGGTGATTTTCCATAGTTATGTAAACGTTTACCAGAGGGTATCCTTGAATATATATATATTATTTACACATTATATTATGTAGATAATTCCCATTTACCATTGATGGCATATAACATGGCATTATATGGGAATTATCTACACCTGGTACCTGGTTAGATGAAGCAGCTCGCTCAGGCTGACCGCAACCGGGCCTTTGACTTGACACAGCGCCTCGACCGGTTGGGGTGGTCGTTGGGAACGGGGCTTTGGGATGCCATGCCGAAACCGGGGGCGGGGCTTCCTTGAATGGGTCAACAGCTAGATGATTTTTGGTGGTTTAATGGGATTGAAGCATGAAAAATGGTGGTTTTAATGGGATTGAAGCATGAAAAATGGTGGTTTAATCGGATCCAACCAACAAAAATGATGATATCATGATTGTTTTTTTTTTTTTTTAATATGGGATTTGTATATATCATGTGGGCAAAACAATGCCATTTTTACCACCCATGACTGGGAATGGTTTATACCAACTATAAAAATGGTGATTTTTCTGGGTGCTGTTCATGACTGTTTTACCCACATTACCTATGAAAAAAAACCATGGGGGAAGGCACATCTACACCAGCTATGACTTAGCCATCCGTGACGAGCCTCGCGGCAGGTGTGTCGTGGCCGATGTGACCAATGCTGCGCCTGGGCTTTGATATGTCGCTACTGCGGAATTTTTCGCAGGGGAACACCCTGATCTAGAAGGATGGTTTCAGATACCCTCTGGTAATGACTAACATAGCTATTGAAAATGGTAATTTATAGTTGATTTACCCATTCAAAATGGTGATTTTCCATAGTTGTGTTAGTTTGCCAGAGGGTATCCTTGAATATATAATTATCTATATATTATTTACACATTATATTATGTAGATATATGTCAGCATATATCAGCAACAACTGGTTGGTAACCAATCGGCAGTTGTTGCTGTCCATTTGGGTCTTCACCTGGCGTGGAGCTGACCCTGAACTAGGACCTGGTTAGATCTGAACATTCTTTGGTTCTAACTGGGGGTGGTGCCCCAGTTCGTTAGCTAAGTTGGTTTATAAGTCCAATAACTTATGGTTTATAGGTGATATATCGAACTAGTTAATGGGATTATAGTGATTATGACCCATTTATAACTGGGGGTACACCACCTTGTAGTTAAAATCAATAGGAACAACAGATTCAAATTTGTTCGTTTTGTTCCCCAGCATGCCAGGTGAGGGTCTCAAGATTTTAACAAAGGGGCAACTCACTCCCTCCTTCCTTCCTTCCTTCCTTCCTTCCTTCCTTCACTCCTCGCGTCCTCCTCCTCTGCCAGCTCCTCGTCACTCTAAACCAACCGATCCGGATCTTACAGCAAGTGCCAGCTCAAGTGGAGCTGCCTCGCTCCACAAACTCATGGCGCGAGCTCCATGGCAGTCTGGGCACACATGGACCCGAACCATTTGCCAGAAAGAATGCCAGATGGATAGCCACAAAAAATGCCACAAAGAATGCCAGATGGAACGTCAAAAAATATGGCGGATAAAATGTCAGATAGAATGCCAGAACATATGTCAGATAGAATGCCAGATAGAGTGTCAGAACATATGTCAGATAGAATGTCAGATAGAGTGTCAGAACTTATTATGTCAGATCGGCTGCCAGATAGATTGCAAGAATACATGTCAGGATGTGTGCCACGGTGGGGATCACACGAAGATATTATGGCAGCCGCATGGCCGGTGGCGACGTCCAGGCAGCATACATTGTGAGAGCCATCCTCCAGATCCGTTCTGCCGCGTCGGCCTGCCCTGAGCCAAAGTGCCCTGGGAGAGTGGAGCCGAGGGTGGAAGGGTGGAGCCGAGGGTGGAGCATTTAAAAACCAATGATTCCATATTAAGACTGGTAGTTGACCACTCTGCTATGGTGAAATTACCAGAGGCTGACACTTAAAATGTCCCCAAAGAAGGTGTCTTGATGACCAATCTAACGGAGAAACCGAGGGTTTCATCAACCACGCATGCTTTTTCAAGCAACAAAACAGAGGATTCGATCGGAAACAAACATGGGGAAATGGGGATGGGTTAGGATGCGTACCAACAAAAACCCAAAACTTTCCATATCAATGGGAGGATGAACATCGATGAGCTAACCATCTTTTGGGTTAAAACCAGGGTACCAGAGACGTAAAAGTAGCTGCAGGATGCTGCAGGCAGAGAGGGCAGTCCGTATGGTTTCCTTTTGTTTTCCAGCACAAACACCAACACACACACACACACACTTGCATGCTAATCACATCTAATTACAGACATGTGTTCGCACCCAAACATGTGCGCTTGCAAATGCACTTGTGCATGGGCGTGCCTTCACACATCCTGACGGGCACCCAAACATTTCATCTTGGTCAAACCATTGTGCATCATAGGCATGCGTCTCTTGGGCTTGGAAATGCCTCAGCAGATACGCCCCGTCCAGGGCTTGCGCTATCAACATCATGAATATCATCAGTTCGTTCGCGTGGATCTCCCAGTTCACGTGCCTTGGTTTCAGTTTTGCTTGGTTTCAGTTTTGCTGGATGAATGAAAACAACATGCACATTTCCATACATTTCCCGCTCCATTCCCCCATGGCAGAAACATATTTTGACATCTCGATACAGTCATCGGTGATGCAACAGCCATTCCCAGCAGGATGATGAAAAACAATCACCCGATTGTGAAGTTCCCCATGTGGAGGTTTCCTAGAATACAGGTACCCCTAAATCATCCATTTTTTATAGGATGTTCCATGATGTTCCATGAAATACACCATCCAGCTATTGGGGTACCACCATGACTTAGGAAACCTCCATGTTTGTCGGAACATCGCCTAGGTCCCTGGCCGTGTCCGATTGTTGGGACAAGGGAAGCCAAAAGGCCCTGTGCGCGGCTGACATCTCCGTTCTTTGGCAGCAGATCCACCACAGTTTTGGGTAGATTTGGGTCTGGGATTCTCAACACCTTGGGCTTTTCATGTGGGGGCTTCCTAAAATGGAGGTACCCAAGCTCGCTGGATGGTTTGTTTCATGGAAACTCCATCTATAAATGAATGATTGGGGGTAGCCCCATTTTAGGAAACCTTCATGTGACCCCGGACATTTTCGCATGGGACCCATGTTTCTTGACTCCGCGCGTGGAAAGGACAACAAAGTCGAGGGAACATAATCACATCAAATCAAAACGAACCTAAAAGAATAAAACAAATTCAACCATAGAAAATTCATTATCCAAATTCTTGGTTTTGGTTTCCATGTTAGCAGTAGTGCCAACAGTGAGTTCCTTTGGAACGTTTTTTGGTTTTGGGTTCCGTGAAAAAAAAAGGGGGCGACGCAATTTTTGTTGTTTTCTTGGTTCATCCAAAATGCACTTGCCTCTCATGGAAAATCCTTTCCTCATGTGGCAGAATGACGTTTATATGTGACAGTCGTTGCCGTATCCGTGATTCTGCACCCATGAAATTTGGTGAATGACTTCCTGGTTCGGTCCGAACGTCCAATTCTGTCGGTTTTCCCCGAGGTTCGTAGCTGAAACTTCACTCATGGCCAGAGTTTTTGGATTAGAAACACCATGTTCTTTTTGGTTGTGAAAATTCAAGTGCTTGGGGGTTTGGTTGGGGTTATGAATATATATATATATATGGTTGGTGGTTTCAAACATTTTTTATGTTCCATAATATATGGGGGATAATCCTTCCCATTGACTCATATTTTTCAAGATGGTTAAAACCACCAACCATATATATATATAATTATAACTGATTACAACAACCAAAAGTTGGGATATAACCTAACCCTTGTAGCTGTGTCACATACCCGCTGATGATATAACTAGAAATGCACCCTTTGTCCTTGTCACCTGAGCACATTCAAAAACGATTTTCCTTCGTGAAATCCCGATGTTTGATGTTAACTCCCCAGGAGCTTGGTGATTTTCCAACAATGCCTGATGTTCCAAGATTAATCCATATACAACACATGAAAGCATGATCAAACCCATCTAAATCCATCTAGAGCCATCTAAAACATTCTAAAACAATCTAACACATTCTTAAAACATTCTAAAGATTTTAGTCGGGAAAACATCATGATACCATGATAAGAATCAGTAATCCATTGTAACATCAGTATAACCATGAGTTTCCACCAGCTGCAAGTCTCTTCGTTGTGTTTTCGGCCCGGGGAAAAGCGTGACCAGGACATGGTTGCTGCGGTGACCAACGGCCCTGCGGCAGGCATTGCAACGACCTCGGAGACTGGGCTTATCCCCTGGGTGATGAGGTTTCCTATGGGGGTACCCCCAAATCATCAAAAATTGGTTATTTTCAATGGGAAAACCAATGGTTTGGGGTACACCATATTTTAGGAAAACCCTAAATCATCGATTTTTTATAGGATGTTCCATGAAATACACCATCCAGCTATTGGGGGTAGCACCATGACTTAGGAAACCTCCATATGAATATGGTGGGATTCAACGGATTGGAGGGTTCTAGACTCATTCAACCACGACTTAGTATTGAAATATGGGCATAGCGATCTGTCATGAACACAGGGTCTTAACCAGTACCCAGGTATAGCTGTAACATCGTGATTTCATGAGGAACGACAAAGCCATGTTTTCTGGTCGCCGTGAAATTTTGGTTGATCCGTTCTGGTGAAATCCGGATGGTGATAGGATTGCTGGATGGGAACTGAGGATCCAGCATGACGACTAACCAACAAAGATATACAAAGATGGTATCTTTTGATTGGATATCATGGCGAGATATATACATAATATAATCATATAAATCACATTCATATATGTATATATATATACTGTCCTGGGCTGTTGCTGATTGGGGCCCCTTGTCCCCCAAGTCATTGCCATGATGACAAACCATCAAACTAGGGGTACCCTAGTGTGGACACGCCCACATATATATATACAATTATAATTATATACAGTAGATATAATTATATATAATTATATATTATATGTGTATATATGTATATGTAATATGTATATATATATATATGTATTTGTGTACGTCTTTTACAACAGCTCGATATTAACTTCTAAGTCGATTTACTTTGATGGATTTTGTAACTTGACAGTGCTTGGTATAGCTATACAATATTGATATATCTTGATGTAACTGGATGCAAGTTTGAGGTAAGACCGAATAACACTTTACGTATATCATCCTGAAGTAGATAAAATATGGATTTTTCAAAGATCCCAATTTCGTGAGGATGATTGAATCTGGTTGACATTTCCACATTCCATCTACTGCACGACGAACAAAAACCCTTTGAATTCTTCACCAGACCACGCCTTCGCAGAACTCCTCAACCAAGGATTGCGCGGACATGCCAGACCCTCTGGAGGAGGAAAAACATTTGCCAATGGACTAAGGCGGTTCGGACTGTTGAAATGTTGAAGGGATATATCCGTGAATCCATGAATAGGCTATGGTAATTTGACATAGCCATGGAATCCATGGCCCATAGAAATACCCATTTAGTTCGTTGATTTACCTATCAAAGATGGTGATTTCCCATAGCTATCTCAGTTTACTGGAGGGTATCATACCCTGCGAAAGCTGTTCCTTTTGAGGGCTTAAGCCTCATCCCTGGTGAGCTCCAGGTGTTCCAGGGGAATTTCTTTGAGACTTCAAGCAGTGAGAGCCTGCTGGATCTTTGAGACCTATCATCTATACATACCATATATCTATAATACACTGTACACATGCACATCTTATAGTTACGCACTGTGTAGTGTATATATATATATATACATAGATCTTTGTGTGAAAATAGGATACCCAAACAAAACCTGCGGTCGCATCAAAATCCCTTTGTGCTTCAGGCCTTCAAAGGCCTGGCTTGGCCCACCGTAGCTCGTCGGGGGAACTCCATGGTGTTGAACTGGGAAAATCGTCACCGGAAACCAGTCCATTGAGGATGGTCAACACGCACCGGATTCCGTTGGTTTGTCGCTGAACTAAGTGAGATTGGTAAATGCCGTCGGTTTGACTTCATGGAACATGTGGTTTAAACAACTTGCATCGGAATTTTGTTGTCAAATCAATCCATCCCAAAGCCTTCCAAGAATTGGACAGTGCAGGTGTAAAGTCATAAGTCCAACAACAAGGCAGACAGCACATTTGTTAAAGTCATGACAGTATTAAATATATCAAACTCAACTCGCGCTGTGACAGGAGTTTGAACCGTTCATCAGGAGATATGGAAAAATTACAGTCATGAGCAACGAGTTGACAAAAAAATAACATTTGCAAGACATGCTTTGATGTTGAAACGGTTTTTGGTTTGTCTTAGGGATTTGTATGAGATGCCACAAGGACAAATTGATATAGAATGATACGTATACATTAGCCTGATATATTCTGCTTGAGCATACATTTACCTAAAGAAGTTGTTGAATCTTCATGACGTCTGTGAACATCTTGGGTCGCGAACGATGGGCGAAACGATTTTGGCGATACTTTTCTGCCTAAAGGATATACGGCTGTACACTCATCATTGATAAATCATCGTCATTGATACCCTCTGGTAAACTAACATAGCTATTGAAAATGGCCCATTTATAGATGGTTTACCTATTAAAAATGGTGATTTTCCATGGCTATGTTAGTTTACCAGAGGGTAAATCATCATCCAAATTCGTATTCCAGAATTGGACGGGCTTAAATTTACTTCGGAAACCTCTATGTCTTGTAAGATATTTTTGTTCGCGTCAAAAAATAAAGATTTGTTTTACGGCTCAAAATCCGATGGAACCGGGACAATGGGTCCAGTTGATGATTTGACTACTGGAGATTGTTGGAAACACCAATCGTTCGTTTTATTTCCTGGAGATTGTTAGGGCCCCACATGGAATTTCGCTCCCAGAATTGAAGGCAATGGTTTTTTTTTTCAGGCTTTACTCCCAAATTTACTTGTAAAGATCATAGGTTCCTTCAGATCTTCCCAGAGACCAACCCAATGATCACAAGCAAATTTCACAGATCCCACACATGAGTCGGAAATTTGAGTCGGAAATGCACTTCCCAGGTGACTAGATTCAGCCCGGCCTAGGATGGAACCTGTAGCCACAGCCTCCCAGTGATCAACTGGCTGAGTTGGAGACGCCTTGACACGGGAGTTGCATGGCCTTGATGGCTTTCGTGCCTTTGGGACGATGTATATGTCTGTGGCACGCAGTGTGGTAGTGGGCAACCTTACTGGCTGGTGGTTTCAAATGGTTTCAACTTACACGCCATGCTGAAAAACATTGAGCGTTTTTTTTTCCCCCTTTGAGAATCTTTGATACATATCTTTTCAGGGGATTGGCTCCACCGACCAGTGTACCTCTAACTCTGCCAACTCCTTTTTGCATCAGATCAGAGGCTGAGATGGCCCTTGGCCCCAAACGCCTACAGTGATTGTTTGGTTCCACTGATCACCTTGCAGTCTAGCAGAGGTGCGCTCCAAAAACCTGGTGATCAGGGAAGATCTGATGCAAAGAGCGGTGCTTCTGGCGGAGCGATTTTGCCTCTGTCGGGGCTGTAATGAATGGAAAGTGCGGCGCCGTTTCACACGTGGCTGCAAAGAAGGCTATCATACCCCCATACCCATTTTTGCATTTCAAACCATGGCCGTTTTGCAATATCGGTGCTGGCACTTTCCATTGGACTGCTGATGCCGCGACCCTTACCGGACCCTGCGTTCCTGGGCGAAGCAACCAGGGAACAGGACACCCGAGAACGCGGAACAGGAGCAAAAGTGGATCGATGCCAGAGGTGAATTGGGCAGTTTTTGGGCCTTGGGCTATAGATGGGTGAACTACGGTGAATTCTTGGATGGCTTATTTATGAACATAATTTCTTGGTCAATCACACGTTTTTTTGTAAAATTTTATTGGATTATGGGTTATTAACCTGCGATTGATATGGCATCATGGCGATTTTTAAGGGGATTTCATGGGCATCCCAGGGCTCTTCAGCTACCTCGAATCCCATGGTGTTTTTCCATCCGATCCGAAGATCTTTGGCTGTTTCAGTATGGAAAAGCCAGCTGATCTGGCATCTTGGACACAGGATGCGTTCAAAACTTGAAGCCTTCCCAAGCGAGGTTTGCCTTTTTGCTGCAGTCTCAGATGGCTATGGACCTCATTTTTTTTTTGATGAGTCATAGACCAAGGTGGCAAACATCGTAGCAACACACTGGCAAAGTGTGCACATCTTGGATCGAAATAGACCAGCCCAGTCTCGGCCCGAGGCTCTATTTGAAGCACACCAGAACCCAGGAGTTAAAGCGCTCTGTTGAGGTGAGGCTGGCAGCAAAATCAACCAGCAACGAAGAAGAACACAATTGATATGTGGTTACGCTAGCTTGCTAGCCTTGCTCAAATGGCGCTGCCGTGTTGCAGCTTCAGTGGCTTTGCAGGCAAGGATGGGCTACGTTTTTTTTTTTTGGTGCCTTCTGTTGTTGTTGTTGTCGTTGTAGTTGTATTTCTTCTTATTATTCTTGATGTTCTTGTGACTCTTGTGAATGCTGTGAGAGGTGTTGTTGTTGATGATGATGACGATAATACGTACCCTTGTGATGGTGTTGTCACTTTCCGGTAGTCAGTTTCACGGTCATGGTCATTGCCAGCAACACATTCTATGATATATATATATATATATATATATAAATACATACATTGATGTACATATGAATACATAAATATGAACATATAACTACATATGAATATGCACATATGAACATATACATATGAAGATATGTATGTATATATATATAATTATATATACAGGTATGTCTGCAGCAAAGGCACACAGGTAGAATAACCATCATCCAGTTGCATCGTTTGTCCTGGTCTTTGTTCGCTCGTTCGAGACGTGGTGATTTCCAGTTCGCCAGGGAAATTCCATTTTTCAAAATCGCGTCGGTGCCAGGGAGATTTTCCCATCGACAAATGGATGAGAAACGAAGGTGGTACCCCCATGACTGGTCGGAAACCTCCATGTTGGAGTGAGATAGACCTGATAGACCTTAAAAAACCTGATGTTCCTGGTAGCTAAAGATGACATGACAACATGACAGTGACCAACAGTGACCAGGACGGCGGAGTCGAATCTCACCTTCTCGTGAATGAGGTGGCGCAATCTTGAAGGATCATTGAATCAATGGGAATTTCAGGATCCTAAAATGGAGGTACTGTACCATATAAGGCCATATTTTGGGGGGATATTCCCTTACATAGGCCTTACATAGGCCTTACATAGGCCTTATATATGGTAGGTACCTCCAATTTAGGTTCCTGGAATGGCCATTGACTGAATCAGCAAAATCATGTCCTGGCTCTGAATTGGTGAACCCTGATATAACTGATATACCTTGGGATCCCGGAAACCTCTTTGGGATATGGGATCTCAGTCTGGGTTATTCCATTGCAGTTGACAGCGATCCCCAAGGGGAGACTCTACAATCATCTACAATCCACCGATCTTTGGAAGCATGGAAGCATTCTGAAGCATTCAAAATCTGAAGAGATTCCGAATCATCCAATGTTTGCTGATCAAACCAACCAATGTTTGTTGATTGATCCACCCACTTCTGGTTTTAATCCACTCAACATTTTGCCATCACTTCCAGTAGGCTGCCACCGAATTGGGAGTTGCTGCACACCAGCAGTGGCAGAAGCTACCTCTGGACCGAAATCATGTGGGATTGTTGAACTGATTTGCTGACACATCAAAACCCCCATCGGCAGATGGCCTCTGAACATTTCTGGATTGAGATATCGATAGGGCTTAACTACTGATTACTGGTTGCTTGAATGATCAGAGCGTCGATTTTTGAACCGTCCCCAAATGACCCGAAAATTGGAGGTCCAAGGCGAAACCCCTCCGGCGCTGGGTTGTTGAAAGGCAGATCCCTTTTTTTGAAAACCCTGGCAGCGTTGACGAACAGCAGGGCTTTTTTTTTGGATGTTTTGGGGTTGTTGCTTCATTCTTGGCTCTATTTTCGTTGGTTCATTTTTGTTCCTTTTCAGATTGCACAGATAACTTGCAGAAAACCAGGGACTCCTTGTATTTTGGAGGAAAAACCAGGGTTTCCCGGCCCCTTTTACAGCACAACCCATCACAGGAGTCCCCAAAAATCCGATGATCAGCGCGGAGGAATCGGAGTACCAACCAAACCACCTGGCAATTTCCTCAGGACGGCAGGGTAGCTCCATGGAGGTTGAGCTGGGTAGTCAAAAATGGTCAACATTAGCCCTAAAAGGGACCACAGATATACGAAAATGATGTTTAGTCGTAAGTATTCACCATCTAGTTAGTTGGGTATCCAATTTTGAACCATTTCCAGCTATTAAAAAAATCATTCGCACAATCAAGGGTCCCCAAGGTCCTTTTGTCCGGACTTGAGACGATTGGACCAAATTGAGAGGACTGACAACACCACGCATCGCACATGTTTGTGATGGTGTTGCATATGGGGCTTTCTAAAAATGGATAAACAACAGACAAAAAAAAACTTGAAAATTGGTGAATCATGGATTAAAACCAGATTAACCAATGGAAAAAAATATGGTTCACCGGTGGATATAGCGGTCTGCTATTTCTGCTATTGCTCGAAAGCCATAGATACCTTCGCCCAAATCCGTGACATACTGCGATGTGGTCAGTGGTAACATTGGAGTAAGAGGCATACATGTATAATAATGTTGCATAATCCAATGTATGATAGTGAACATGTATAAATGTACATTTATAATCATTTATGTATACAAACATCAACAACTTGCCATTGAATTCATTGTTCATGTCCCATTTTTTTTTAATGCCTAGACATGGAAGATCTGCCATTTGCAAGTAAATGTCATGGTTCAGCGCTCCGAGGGGAATTTGCTATCTATCAAAAAAACTGTCCGTGATAAAATGTCGACATCGTCCGATGGTTGTTAAGAATCGCGATTTTTATGATATTAGACGATATTAGAACATATTAGCATATATCAGAATGTCTTAGAATCTGTTAGAGAATGCAAGATATTCAGGATGAACGAGACTATTTCATCAGTGTCGCTGTCCCACGATGCATTGCTTTGGGCTTTTTGGGCTCCCATTGTGGTACAGGAAAGTGATGTTGCGCCAGAGACGGACCCTCCAGGCCGTGCGCCCGCGCAGGGGTGCGGTCCTCGGACGTCCTCGGGTATGGGGCAGATCGGGATGGAAAGCCACCATCACTATGGCTTTCCAGCAATAAAAAAAAGGGCCCTGCCATGATTTACCAAGAATCAATGGAAAGATCACCAGAAATACTATGAAATACTGGGATAATTCCTGGTTTGTGGCTTCAGACATCTGATTTTTCCGCTTTGTTTTATGTATCCCACCTGACTATGTAAAACCTTTGAAAAGGATAGATTGAAAACAAGATACCCTCCCAATATGGTGGCTTAAGCAGGGAAGACTACGATCATCAGCAAACTACGTTTTCACTATTTTTTTGGAGAAAGATATCCAATCTTTGCAAATGCCCGAACATGATTTCCCCATTGATCCATTGAGCTCCTCACTGCTCAGTTGAGCTGAGGTATTTGGCGAAGCCAAGCAGCAGAAAAGAGAGGAGGTCGGGCCATGGATTGGAAGATAACTCTAATCATCCAACCTTGCGGAGTGCTTGCGCATACCCTCCCATGTCCTCATGACATCATGGAAAATCAGGATGATTTCCAAGCTTTCAATATTACAGAGAGGTGGATATGATCCAGCTGAACATGGTTTCAGGAGGGAACCCAGCTGATTTTGGCCACTGAATCAGCTGGTTTAGTCAGAGGATTTGATGGGATCGTAACTACCATCATAGGCTTTTTTTGGGGGGAGATGGGTTTGTCCAAAAGTCGGTATACCAGTGTATACAATTTCTCTTTTCATATGGCCTCATTCATGGCCATTTTGTAGAATGGGAAACATATTTACCCTCTGGTAAACTAACATAGCTATTGAAAATGGCCTTTTATAGTTGATTTACCCATTAAAAATTGTGGTTTTCCATAGTTATGTTAGTTTACCAGATGGTAGCGGTTCTGATCCCATGGAATGTGGGTGTCATTTTTTTTCGCCCATGACTTCAGGTGATTCGCTGCAGCCTGTGGCAGGTTTTCAGTGGATGGCCGTTGCTTCATGGTGGAGCCTATGCCTGCAGATCACAGTCGGAGAGCTCGGCGGGGAGGGAACCGAGCCCAGCTTTGAGCTGTAAAGATATGGTCTTGGATGTCTCATTCTCTGACTGTTTGTGTGTGTATATATAATATACTATGTATATATGCGTATATAGTCGTTTATATATGATATATAATTAATAATAATATAATATATGCATATCATATATATATATAACAATATTGAAGAGTGTGGAGTTTATGCCCCCTGCTTTTTCAAATTGAGCCCCAGAGCCAGCGTTTAGACAATCGGCCAATCCAATGGCCGAACCGGCCATCTCCAGAGCACCAAGACATCGAAAAATAATCGGGTTTCATAAATCACAAGCCACTATTGATGCGTGACTTTTCATCAATCTGTGTAAATTATCATAGACCCTGGCAGTCATTGGGGTTGGAAGATGAGTTTCCTCTATAAAACTAGGCTATTTTCAGGGTCTATGTTAAATTACCAGAGGGTAATCAATCTGGGTAAATTATCATAAATTATCACGACCTCATGTCGCGACCTGGAACGTCGCAACCTCACTGGTGATGGTTAGTAAGGGGAATCATCCCAAATGGCCGAACTTTTGAGGGTAGTGAATTATTGTAATTTACCCCGACTATTGATAGGAAACATGTTCCTAAATGTGATAAAGACATGATCTGAGTGATTTCTTCATGTTTGAAGAATAAGAGAGGGCACGTTTAAACAGTAAAAACTGTGAACCCATGAGCTTAATCTGCGTTTGCAGATTTGGCGATGCTTGGAAAATTGGCATGGCAAAGCGGTCACGGAAGAATGAATTCATCTATATGCACGCGTTTGTCCGTTTGACATCGTTTGAGTAGTTTCTGAAACTGCGGTTGGTTGCACTGGCTAGGCTATCCATTCCCAGAATCAGTTCAAATCCCATTTAATCTGGCAGTAGAACCACTCCCCAGCTTGGTTGGCTATGTGTGGGTTCAAGACGTCGCTTCGACAATCCCCTATCCCCGCCTGGAAATTTGCTGATGATTTGGCTTATTTTCCCAAGAAACTCTCAGCCCCTTGGTGAATGTATAGTTTTTTTTTTTGGGGTTCCTTAAGCAAATGCAAGTTATTCGAGGATATTGTTTAGGTTACCGGGTAACTTCCATTCCTGAGAGACCACTGGGTCTCTCGTCTCATTCTTTTGATTTCTTCATATCCTACACTTGGGATTTTGGGAATGTCTTCACTTACCCTCTGGTAAACGTTTACATAGTTATTGAAAATGGCCAAGTCGAAATAGTGGATTTACCCATTAATAGCATGGTAAAAATTGTGATTTTCCATTATGTAAACGTTTGCCAGAGGGTATTGGCTTCCAATAAGTTTTCCAAAAATAGAGGTATTACAATTGGTACCTATGTAATATATCAAGTTATGTAAAACAATATCTATGTAAAGTTTTCCTCTTTATTTTCCTAAAATTTCCCTCAACATTATTAAATCCCATTAAATCCCATTAAACCAGCATTTCTTATCCCATTTACCAGCTAAATCCCAGTTTTCATCTTCTCTATTTTCGTAACAAATCCCTGCGAAAGTCATCAATTTTAAGGATCTACCGAGCCGATAAACAACAAGGCGACCAGGCGATTTTTTTCCCCATGGCTCACGATTAGACGCTTCCGCTTGATTTATGAATGATCATCTGATTAGCGCATCAAGAACCCACAAAATTGTAGGTCTTTTTCCAAAAACCCGTTTTTTGTTTTCAGTTATGGAAAAAACCCTTTTTTCTCAGAAAATATGGATTTTTTATGATTTTTTTCTTTACTAGGGAAACAACCTACTTCTTCTCACACTTGGTGTCATGACTTCTCATGATTCGTTCCCTTAGACGATTCAAACCCCTTTATTGATACCAGCCTTGGATCTATCCCTCTCAGTACCCTTCATGTTGATTATACTTTCACCCCGCTGGCTTTGGGTGGCAATTCTCACAAGAAAGGGCCCGATGCTCTTGGAACATGTCGGACAACATTAAGTGTGATCACAGTCAATCTGGATTCGTTGGATGATTTTTTTTCCAAGAACCAGCCCTAGAAGCATAAATTGAAACATGGCTTTTTTGTTTTCATTGAGAAAAAAATGATTGTGGATTGCCAAAGTCCAACAAACAGTCGAACAAAAGTATCGAACAAATCATGAAAAACCAATCGAACTTTTCAGTTTTTAATCATTTCGGATGACAATTTTAGGGTATGTGCCCAAAAAATGCCAAAAAACCATATTTAAGCCGTACTAAGCCGTACTAAACCCATATTTAACCCGTACTAACCCATACTAACCCGTACTCAAAATATGTTTTTTTTGCCTCTGCGAATTAACGGCGCGACGTCGAGTTTTAAGGCTCCGCTTGTGGTTTTGCAAGATCGAACCAGTAATTGCCCGATCCAGACAAAAAGAAAGCAACGCAGATTACCGGAGCTATTGTCAATTTACTGGGTTCATATCTGAAAAGCTGACTTTTGAAATGCCATGCATATCCATTGTGACTTTTTAACTACCTCCAGTCCCGCTGAAGGGAAAGTTCGCAGCATAGGAGGTAACTGCAGCCGGTGGAGAAAGCGGGCATCGTGTCTGATAACGCTTGCTTCGGTTTCGATCGCGCGTTCTGTCTGACAGATTTCACAAGTTGTCAGTATGAAATTGCTACATGTAACGAGGAGAAATTTGATACAGGTCCACTTGATTTGGACAAATTTGTGCAAATCCAACAAAAACCAAAATATGGGTTCTGTACCAAAACCCGTTTTTTCTCGAAAAAACGTTTTTGTTTCACTGGGCCTACATTTTTTTTTGGTCTTTGAAGCTCCTGGTGGTAATATATCTGGTAATTATATATAGATTATGATTATATATGGTAATTATCATATTATCAAGCATATATGCTTGATGTTTTAATGACCTCAAGCACATGCACCATATGTTTGCCATGTTTCCCCATCTGTTTGACCATGTCAACTTGACCCAACGACTTCGGACCGTGGTTTTGCGACGTCCTGGTGGCGCCAGGTTGTGGCTTTCATGGTATCGGAGTGGACCGCCGGACGGTGCGGCCATGACTGGGGGCAGCCATGGGGTATCCTCCAACACTAGCGGTTTTATGGGAGATTTATGGGATTTATGGTATTTTTCAAAAAAACATCAATAAATACAACTATAACATATGTTGCCAGATTTATGGGATGTTATGGAAGTTCTATGGGTTTTCTTACTGGAATTTTAGCAACCCCCAGAAAGATGCTGAACAGTAAGTTGGAAAACATCACCAAACCTTGCTACCATCTTGGAACCACTTCTAAGGGGTTTTCTCCACCATGTGCACGTCACGTGTCAGCTGACCAAATCAAAAACAAACAGACATATATATATATATATTATTCGGATAGTTAAACATCCAAATTATATGTTTGTTATTATTGCGTATGTTATTTATAAGTATATGGTTTTTCCATTTTCGGGGATTTTCTTGGGCGATTTTGGGGATATTCCCATAAAATGATAATGGGAAAGAAGGAATTGGATATTTTTTTAATAAGACTTTTTTTTTTGGAATATAATGGGATGATGTTCAATAATTACACGAATTGGTTTAGATATCACAATTTTCACTGATGAATAGTGGATATGGGGTTATGAAAGCACCATGAGTAGTGTTTCTTTTTTTTTTTGCGGGATATAAACAGTCATCACACATGGGATACCCTCTGGTAAACTAACATAACTATGGAAAATCACCATTTTTAGTGGGTAAACCATCTATAAATGGCCATTTTCCATAGCTATGTTTGTTTACCAGAGGGTACATTTTTTTTTTTTTAAATATCAAACTCACAAACTGTTGGTATCTTATGATTCCGAGGTTCCAAATGAACCATGAAATGAGGTCCTGTCGTCTGAAAATCAATGGGCGACTGGCTGAAATAAAAGTTGGTGGATCCCATCAGATGGGGATCGCTATATATTTTCCACAGTCATGACCATCATGTTAGTTGACAACAGTACCCTCTGGTAAACGTTAACAAAAAACTATGGAAATTCACCATGCTATCAATCAATGGGTAAAGCAACTATTTCGACTGGGCCATGTTCAATAGCAAACTGTTAGTCATTACCAGAGGCTATCAAAACACTCCATCATCATAAATGGATGATCCAACATCATCATAAACCGTCATGAGCAATGACAGGAATCATATGATGCTGTCTTTCCATCCGCTACTGAGTAGTGGTCTGATACAATGGGGATTAGCCTCCGGTTAGCGATGGAACATCAGCTCATCTATAGATATTTTCCCCTACAAATGGGATGACTTATGATATTAAACCATTATTGAACCTTGATTTCTTGCCCCAAAAAATGGTGATGCCCAAAAAAGGACGCAGATGTTCAAACTTTTTTTTCTCTTAAACTATTCTACACTGTGTTCTTTTAATGTGGTGAATCCCTTCAGACTACCGAAGGAAGTCTACTTGGAGATTCCGGCCACTTCAGAGCCCAGCCGGAACACATCGCCAATTTTCATAGAGGCTTTTCCCATTGAAAAAATATCAACATGTTTGGAATTTTCCGTTGCCAGCCACGTTTGATTACCGGAGGGTATAGAGTTGTTTTTATATGCCTTCAGGCATCATGGCATCATGCCTTCAGCATTGATATAACCGGCTTTTGAACGATTTTTTGACCTGGGAATAGGTCCCTGGATCTGGCGTATCGGTGCCAAACCCCACAGGCAGCAGCACTGCTGCTTGCCAACCTCGAAGATGTGGAGGTGCAGGTGCGGCGATGCCGGCGACGCTTTGCCGTGCCGGCTGGGTGAATGGAGAGAGCGGGTCGCATCGGTACTATATCATACTGTATCCATATTCCCTACCATACTATATCCATATCCATGTTCCATATCTGTACCATATTACCATCATACTATATCCATATTCCCTACATAACCATATCAAGGAACCACGAATTCGAGTTTTTCCCACATTTTCGAAGCACATGATAGGAGCGGGTTTTGAAACCACCACAGAGGTGTCGCTGCAGCAGTAGGGCCGCATGGTAGTTTCCTTGCTCGTGACATGAGAATTGTATACACCACCTATAAAAATGGTGATGACTGGGGGATGATATTTATGGTATTTATGGTATTTATGGTATTTATTTTTTATTGTTTCTTCCGAACTCCCGATATTTGTTGGTCATATCAAGTAGTATCCCCAGATCAATGTAAAAAAACGCCCCCCCGGATGGACATCGCAATCTTTTGTTGCTTAACTCGTGTTTCCTATGGACGAAAGGATACGTTTTAAGGCGTCATCCCGATCATCCCCAGATCATTTTGGCATTTTGAAGAATGGCTGGTATTAATAGATACCAATGATCCCCAGGTCATCAGCATTTTTATGGGTGCCATATATAATTATATATATATAATTATATATATATAGTTATATAATATATATAATTATATATAATATATATATATATGTATATATATAATTATATATATATGTTATATCAACATATATATATATATATCAACCATTCCCATGGTCATTCTTTATGGCAGCTTTTCCAGGAGTTCTTAGCGCGCGATCTCTTGGCAGCGCTACAGACCAGCTGGGGAGCTTGGTTCAGAATGATGTCACGAAACACATCCAGTTCGAAGTTCTAGTGGTAAAACATATGGCTTAAAACTGAAACTGTTTATTTGTCGGGTTTCTGATGGTTTCTGTAACTTGGACCTTCCTATTTGTTTGTATTAGCAAAATGAATCGATTAGATTTTAGGATAGTTTAGAAGGGTATTAAATATGATTTTGGGGGGAAGGGATTGACCAGGAGACAAAGACAGAAAGATCAAACGTGGTGGTTCGAGCAACCAAGACGTAGGAGAGAAACCAGCTGTGGATATGTCACAACAACGGAGGAAAACCACCGGTTGGCCTAGCGTCCCGGTAGTCGAGCTGTTGGGGTCACTTGGCCCGTCTCTGACTCATGGGTCACAAAGGGACGTGGATTTGCGAACTGGGAATCACCATTCTGATTAGGCACATCAATGGGTCATGGCTTCGCTATGCACCCAAAGATCCACCAAGAGAACCACAATGCTCCGGGGTCTAATGGAAGTTAAGCATCTCTTAACTTCCATGCCTAGCACCTGTTGAGGACGCAACAACACAGTTTTTCTGTTCCATGCTGAGTTCGCAGGGACCTGTCATCCTGCCTGGTACCGAGGTAGTCGAAGCGCTTTCCCGCCGAAGCTACGTGAATCTAAAGAACTCTGGGAGATGTTGAAAAAGTTCTACCAAGAACAGGAGGCGAGGGACCAAAGGAGGCGGCTGGAAGCCAATACCCTCTGGTAAACGTTTACATAACTATGGTAAATCACCATTTTAATGGGAAAATTCACGATTTCTATGGTGATTTTCCATAGTTATGTTAGAAATTACCAGAGGGTAAAGGATGTCTTGAAAAGATCACCCCACCCCACCACGGGTCGGGACCCAACCACCCTGGGAGTCGGGGGACAGACACCGAAATAGACTTGGAAGATCTTGAAAGTAACCCTGCAACTGAGGTTGACTGAGGTTGTGGGGCCATGATTTTCGGCTGACTTGACAAAACTCCAGGTAGAACTTTATTTCAGACATCTTTTTAGGACCAAGCAGCACGTGTCTCAAAATGAGCGTTGATTCTGAAAAAAAGGGGGCCAGTTTCATGTGTTATTCTGCAAATTGAGAGACTTGAGTGCTTCAAATCGGGGACTATCCAGTGACTCCAGTGAGATATTTCTACTTCGCAAATCGGAACAAGACAACATTCTTTCTTGGGTCTTAAGCCATCACCATTCTTTTTCACCATTTTCCATGAAAACTGGTGATCACCCAGGGGATGATTTGCAGGCTCTGGATCATCAAAGACGCGAGGCATCCCCGCATCGGGGCCGGGCATAGCGGACCACCTTTTTTGGGTTGTACCGAAGCCCCGCTCGGGTGGTTGTTTTTCTCGGTTAACTGTGGTTTGATTCCAACAATATACCAACATATCCATGAAAACTGGGGTTGTTATATATGGTTCATTATATGTTATATAGTTATATAGTTGTTATATAATGTTATATAATGTTATACACATGTTGAAACTGGTAGGGGGGCCCAAAGTGTAGAGTAGAAGTAAAACCGCAAACTTCGGACCCCATATCTGTGCCGTTTTTTTCAAAAGAAAGGTGTTGGATCCTCCAGATGTCTAGTTGCTTCTCTCGTCACTTTCTTGGTGTCTTGCCCACTCTTTGCTGGTTGTATTCAACCTTTGATGTTTGTCCACACTGTGGTTTCGAGGGTAATCTATTCATTTTGAATTGCTTATCCAACCATTGGTTGTTGTTTACACGGACATTATGGGTCAACCGTACTGGATAATTGGATGCTTGCTAAAGTCCACGTCCCTGGAACTTCAGTACTTTTTGACCCATCACAACTGCTGCTTGATGCTGCCGTATCTCATTGCAACCCCGGATTTTTCTTGGTTACCTGCCCATTTTCGGTGGTTCAATGCCGGCGTTGTTTGTCGGTCGTATTCCCAGATTAGGTGTTTATCCCTTCCCTCTGAGATCATAATCCCCCAAAATTCGTTTCGTCCCAAGAATCGGACGGCTTACGGTTTACTACTAGAGGGTGGGATTACACTCCTTCCGTCTCCTTCCCCTATTTTCTTGGAAGTAGCCTAAATTTTGTTGGTACAATCACAAGTTCAGTTCTGGCTCGAATTCCATGAGTCATATATCTATCCAATTTTGACGCTGAGTTCCAAGTTTTTGATGCCTCATTTCAAATCTTCACAGTTTTTTGATGCCGAAAAATCCCCCAAAACCTGACCCCCAGCCGTGACCCGCCGACCCGCCGCCGTGAAGCGCGCCTCCGCGAACTGCGGAAGGCTCGGGAGTTCATGTTGGATGCTGGAGCCTCTTCTGCGGTGCAGGCGAGATCTGTTTGATGCTTTGATGGTTGGCTGATTTTGAGCCAAGACATAGGGATTTCACCATGAAAACATGAGGAGCTCATGGATGTGAATGAATATTTTGATTTATATAATTGCTATATAACATGGAACATGCGATTGATTGAGATATTAGTGGGGATATACTGGGGACATATATATATATATATACATATTACATATATAACCCATCATGTCCAATTTGGGGTGTGTCAAAACATGGGGGATGCCCCAACCTTATCCAATCATGGTGATTCTAGGGAAAGCTATGGTGGTTTTGGGGTAGCCCCATGAGCAGCAACTCCAAAATTTTCATGGTTGAGATGAAGGAGAAGCCAGAAATCCATTAATTTTACCCTCTGGTAATTTAACATAGCTATTGAAACTGGCCATAGAAATAGTTGATTTACCCATTAAACATGGTGATGTTCCATAAATATGTTAGTTATGGAACATTTTTTCCCATAATATAAGGGATAATCCTTCCCATTGACTAATATGTTTCAAGATGGTTAAACCCACCAACCAGTTTAATTATTTGAAAGAATCCAATGACATCACCGGGACGCAATGATTGGCCTTTAAAACTGAAACGATTTGAGATGCTGATTGGTCAAGATCTTGAAGGGGGAGGGCCGGGGCGGCTGGCAGAAGGCATCTATGCTGGATGTCACCTTTGTGAAGCTTGTTTGGAGGCTTTGGCCCATCAAATCTCAAGGTTGATTGCGGGGTCCTAAGGTTTCATGCCAGAGCACACAGCTCAATCCATGATTTCTGTGACCAGCTGATGATTGCAGCACCAAGCGAGAGGACCTGACAACAGAGACAGTTGAAATGTCAGGCATGTCATGACCGATGGGAAGCCCAGGGAATCTGAATCTTATTCCCCGGGGCAGCAACTGATGGATGACATGATGCTCTTCCTCAGTGGTCTTCGCTAAAATGATAGGAGAACAAAGGGATTACCAGGACAAAGAACTCTCAAATATGTTGGGGGCAGGCCCCCCATTTGGGCAACCAACATTTCGCCACAGCTCGCTGTGTGGCATCTGACATGACGCCACGTGCCGGCCATGGACAGCGAGATTGCCATTCGCGTGGCGGCAGATATTCTGGAGGACCGGTGGGTTCGGTTGGAGATGAGGTGATCGTGGTGACCTGGTGCTTGTTCCCTGCACCAAGGACCGAAATAGCTATATAAAGGCAGAGCAAATCACAGTGGCTGGTTTTCCTATGAACAAAGCTCCATTATTCGCATCTGAAGCATCGAACATGGGTAGCAATCATATTGTAGCACAGCTAGATCAATCGGTTATATAAAATGGTATATCATGGTTACTACCACAAATTAATCATTAATCATATGTATAGCAGCCAGCATTTTTTTAAAACCTCACTATATGAAATATAAACCATTGGCTATGAAATGAATATATACATCACCGTAGAACATTGTAGAAATATTTTACCATACTTTTTTCTTTTCAATCATAGATTACAACAGTTAACAGTTAAAATACTTATGGTAACCACAGATGACACATAGATTTTTACCAGCCAACTATATAAAACCAGCCAATAAACCCGGGTAAATTTCTAGCTCGTCTTCTCTCACGACCTTTGTTTTTTTCAGGTGGATCCGACCAGATTTCTGGCCATATGAATTGTGGGGATATCCCCTGAAAATATGGCCATATCTGGTTGGTGGTTTGGAACATGACTGGCTTATGACCTTCCATTTTTTTCAATGGGATGTAGTCATCCTTCCCAACTGGCGATTATATTTTTCAAGATTGTTGAAACCACCAACCAGTTATGTATGGTAGCTACCTCCAATTTACTGTAGGTTCCTGAAATGACGACCGTTTAGTAACCCTATGAATAGTAAGCATCACCAGCAAAATGAATGATTTTACGATTTTTCACAAGATCCATCATTCAATGGTTAATGATGGATCAATGATCAAGGTTTGATGAATCTGATGAATTTGATGGATCAATGATCGATCCCAACTTTTCATGGTTGCCATCCATATTTGGAGATTGTTTGATGCTTTTTGATCCAATTTCTTGACGGTTACACGAATTAAATCCCTAGTTTTGATGATGATCCAGTTTGTTCGACTTCCGCCACATCCCGGACATTGACACTCATGATTCATCGTTTTCTTGCAAGCTATTCTTTGGATATCCCCTACTTTGCGTTCCCTTCCCAGCAGCCGTTTTTTTGGTTTCAATCTCCCTATGACAAAAACCCAGCAGCCGTTTGATGGTTAAATCCCAGCGGCCAGCGTTTCATGGTTTTTGCAGCAAAGGTATCCCAATGTTGTGATGCTAAAAAACTAGTGTAACTAGGAGGGAGCTAAGGAGGGAGCTAGGGCTTTTTTTTCGTATTCATATTCCCCAGATATCCCAGGATTATCCCACCATTTCCCAATGAAATCTCATTCACATCCCATTCAACATGGGATAAACAGTGAAATCCAAAAACCCTGCTGAAAAATCCAGAGATTTTGGCTGAACTTTTCCAGTTTCCAGGATCACTTTGGCCCTGTGGTATCGAAGGTGGCACATGTGCTGCTGCAGCGCGGTCCCCTTCGAGTCAACGAGATCTTGGTCTTTTTGCAGGCGACAACGGCGACAACACACTGGTGGTCGACCCAAAAAACTTCAGTGGGTGGATGGGAGATATATGGATGATATTAGTATCTGTAATGCATAAAGATCATAAAGCACATATATATATATACACTGTATAATTATATATAATTATTAATTATATATATAATGTATGATTACATGATCAGGAAGCGCTCGAGGGAAATAAGACTATCATTCTGGCAGTTAGCATTATTGTTATTATTACTCCTCCTCCTCCTCCTACTGTATAATTCTTACGATTGTTAATAGTCGTTTCTTTGTTTGGAGTTGGGGGGTGATTATCAGTTATTAATTATTATTGGTATGTTCTTCTGGACTAAATTGGTTGAGCAGGAGCCTTTCCTGCTACGCGTAGTTGGTTGAGTGATAGGGTTTAGGTGATATGGATCCCAGATGGGGCGTCCGTTCTATCCTTGTCCCTCGGTAGCTAAATCCGCAGAAAAGCCTTCAAGTTTGACCCCGGTATTTTGAGGTTCAAACTGTTCTTGCATGTGTGTTGGGCAACATTTCTATTGTATCAGCGACTGTGGGTGGCCACCAGCAATTTTCCTTTAGAAGTCCAAGTGCCATCCCCAAGTTGCAAAGTTGCAACCAATGTCACCAGGATGATTGCGATAGAACCAGCCTCTGGGCGGAAGAGAACCAGATAGAGTTAGTAACGTTAAGGCCAAAAATAAAAAGAGTCGTTGCAACATTTTAGTGTACCCAGTGATCCACCAATTGGTAGAGGTGGCTCAACCACCAGTCAAGTATTGACCGAATGATTTGGACACTGTCTGATTCTCACTGATCAAATCCACCAGGGGCCCGTCCCAGTCCCATGGCCGGGACTCATCCATCCAAGCATCCAGATTGACCCGATTTTACCATGAGAAAAAGATACCAATTTTCTTTATGTCATTTGGGCCTCCAAAAATTATCAACAATTCACATCATGGCATCCAACATGATTCTCGTGTGTTTTTTTTTCCAATCCATGGTCAAAACGTGGTTTGTATTAATCCATCTTCGGGGTCATCAATCCTTCAAGTTCCGGATTGATATACCCAATGGTGCACATATATAATCATATATATATAATATATATATATAATATATATATAATATATATATATATGTATATATATATATGTATATTATATATATATAAGTATTTATATTATATATATACTCATTATAAGGATTCCCTCTGGATTGACGGTATACCTTCCATGTCGCCGAGCCAGGGAAGCCAGGGGAACCAGGGCCAAAGCCAGGGCGAGGAGTTTCCCCAGCTGCGCAATGCCATGCTGGTGATGCTTCAGCATCGCTTGCTACACTGCGAAGCGCCCGATGAAAGCTACGCGCAGGCGCGGTTGAACGGTTGGAAGGGGAGATGAGCTTGGTCTGAATTTTTATGAAACATTGTGCTCTACCATTTTTCGTATTTTTTTTTCTTTTTAAATCTATGTTTCTTTTAGTGTTTTTTACGGGATCTTAGGGAATTCAATGGACATGAAAGGGTGAGAACGAGGGCACCCTCTTGTAATCAAACCTGGCTGGAAGATCACCCATTTTGTTCGAGGATTTGTCCATTTTGTTCGGGGATTTCCCCGTTTCGGGTAAACCAGGATGATTGTTGAGCCATGGTTTATGAATATGGAATGGGAACACGTCATTATAGTATCATTATAGTATCATTATAGTATCAAATACATCATACATCATAATACATTTTGTATCAGATAGTACTCTATATAGTATTATATATATATTACATTTTTGGGATACGGCCACAGAATGGTACCAGAAATTGTTGTTCCCATGTCCCAAAAAGACACAGACTCACTATGAGTCCTGGTTCGATGAGACCGTTGTCGGTAGGGGCTTGGTCCGGTAGCCATGGTAAGTCGGCAACAGTTGGCCGTTCCGAACTGCACAGGGGTGAAATTGAACGGTTGACACTCATGTATACACTATGTATATATATATACATATATATATAGATTATATCCATATATAATATCCACACTAGTATATTATAGTATAGTATATATATATATATATACACATACATCATATACATTCATGCAACATCAGGAAGTCACCGCAGGTGTACCGCGTGGACATGGAGGAAGTCTTGGCGCGGCTGCGCTTCCCTCAATACCTGGAGCATGTTTTGGCGGCCTATGGGGAGAAGGCGCGACAACTGAAGGATGGGACGCTGGGATGGGGCGTAACCATAGAAACATAGTGAGATATATTCTATATGTATATATATATATCTAACTACTAATATCATGGCCGAATCATGGCTAGGTTATAAATCTATACATCATAGTTCTTCTATAATATATATATAGGATGTATATTATATACATGATGATGTATATAGTATATTAATACGTACTTAGTGATTTTTCAGAATTTCTGAAGTTTTTTTCGCTGTTTGGGATGCTGAGATTGTTTGTCCGTTTTTGTTTGTCAGAGGTACTATCTGATGGGTCGTTTCACATATAGTTTGGTTTTCCGTACAACCTCCTATGTTTGGTGTCCAATTCAAATTTCGGGAAAGATATGCCGAGTTGAGCACATTGTTGAGATGGGCAACTGAACCACAAACTATCGACCAATTCTGGATATGGGTGTCACCAGGCTCAGTCACTTCCAGAGACCTTGATGATCTTTTATGAATTTATAGAAAGTGATGCAGGGCGTCATATTCTTATTGATCTCAACGACGCGTTTACTGCAGGTCTGTAGGTGTTTTGTATTCCTCAGTTCTACCCTTCCTTGTTAGTTACAGTACATCTATCAGATCCTTTTTGTTCTTCGTTCTGCGCATGGCTTTCTTTGTGAAAGCACGCAGTCTTGGTTGCTGCACATTACATCCATACACTGTTCATATACTGGTCCATGTACCGGAAATCACATGAATACTGGTCCATCCTAACAACAAATGGCTGTTCTGTTTCGCCAACCGTTTCAGGAAGCCCTCCCTTGAACCCCCGAAACGCGGCCCCTCAGTTTTATATTTCAGTCTTCAAATGTCATATTGAAATATTATATGACTAAATCATCACCATTTACAAAACAACACAACCCTTCAAAATTGGTTACCCTCTGGTAATTTGTTACATAGCTATTGAAAATGGCCCAGTCGAAATAGCGGATTTACCCATTGAACATGGTGATTTCCCATAGTTTTTTGTATGTTTACCAGAGGGTACATTGGATTTTACCATGGTTTTTCCTATGGCTCATGTTTTTTCCCATGGTTTTCCCATCGAAATCTTCGACCGAGAAATATTTCCCTTCCTGCCGACGAGGCCTCGGAGCTGCTTCTGGTGACGCTGAAATATGGGCGCGTCAGCAAAGAGCAGCTCTTGAAGGACTTTTTCGGCTTTGAAAAAATGGCTTAATATGCCTTAATTTATGATGGGATATTTATTTCATGGATTACTGGATATCATATCCACTGTATCCCATGATATTTGATGTTTTTTGAGTATTGCATCCCATAATTCCACTGGGGGTATAATCCAACTATAGATGGTTTATAATCCGTTAATAGATGATGTGATGATCGATGAATGGACTAATGGATTAACCGCTAGGATGCATGGAGTGGTGGTCATCCCACAGCGAATAACCCATAACTGATCTTCCATCACCACTGGGGGTATACCCGGCCTGGTAATGACTGACAGTTTGAATATACACTATTTTGAAATATGATACAGAGGATATTTTTTGTTGCACTTTGCTCGAGACAGTCTCGTCGCCTGCTATGGATAAATAGATAGATATATGGATACACAGTAGATAAATAATTACAGAACAATGGGAAAATATAGATAAATCTATAGATATGGAAGGGTTTACCTAATTTATATAGCCAACAACCAAAAAAATATCATCATCATCATCATCATCAATGTATATATATATATATAATATGTATAGATATAATATATCTAATGCCTTTGACATTCCCATGAGTCCTTTGACTTGCGCGGGCCCTGCGCGGTGCGGGAGAAACTTCACTGTCGAACCCGAACCGACAAACAATGGCAAATGGACATGACTGAAAATACCTTTGAAATAACTGGAAATCCTCAATATCAAATATTTAGTAAATTTATTTTCATATATGTATTTTTATTTTTCCCCATTTTTGAATATGTAATGTTAGTTTTTGTTATTTTTTGTTATTTTTCACTATGATTGTATATTTTGGCGCCTGCTGTGATGAGCCTACTTGTAGTGAGCCTCCAACCCCTCACAATTGATATATAGATAAATATAGATAAATATAGATAGATACAACTTGATACAACTGTGACTATGAATGTGTACATGTACATATGATATGTATATGCATACATATTGTAGATCGGGCTTCAGGTGATTTGTTGTCTCCCCAACCTGAAATCCACCACACAGCGAAGAAAGGGAGCTTGACTACCAAGACTGAGAACACTGGGAGGTCAATAAGCCAAAAACAAATGAATTGTCCCGCATGGGTATGGGTGAAAACACCTGGAATGCCCTGGTTTTCACACCAAAATAGCTGGTAGTTCCGGCGGCAGGTATTTTCCCCTTCACAGGTTTCTTCTTTGTTGTGGTTATCACTGCTTATCCGACCATCGGAGCAAATTATTCCGGAAGAAAATATGAGCGATTCTTGAGACTACCAACCATCATATATGCTCAGGTGGGTCAGTGAGGTAGTGCAGGAAAAACCCGGAACCATCGGGGATTTTGACCGACAAATTCGGTGATGACACGATAATCATCTATGATTAATTTCGATAATATACTGTATGTAATATTACACATATGTATACATATGTTGTTATATGTATATAGAGAGAGACACCTCCCCCGCACCTAACATAGACTCCGCCGTGAGTGGTGGGTTAGAAGACAATTCTTGTATAATTTCTTGGTTTTGCTTAAGTGCCACCTGAGAAATAACAGCATTCCCTAAATCAATGGCCATTTCAGGTACCTAGACTGCAGGTACTCGTACTGCACCATACAAAGCCAATTGTTGGGGATATATATACATATATATATATTCCATTACATAGGCCTTACATAAACCTTATGGTTAGGTACTTCCAATAAAAATCGCTTCCTGAAATGGCTACATGGATTTCCGGGGAAACTGGCTACATGGGATTTCACAGGAAGTGGCTGGAAAAGGACCCTTGCGCGACCTTGAGGACGCCGCGGGGATCCTGCGGGACGGATGATTTCATGGTTGATCCGAGTCACAATGCTGTGATGTACATGTTCCAGTATGGAACCCAGTCATCCGACATCATCCGACATCATCCGAAGTGCTTAGATGGGGCTTTTGGGGAATTTCATGAAATGACAACCAAGATGGGATGCTGAAGCAGCAAAAACTGGCTGATTCATCAGCAATGGCAGATGGATCCAGCACTTTTGACGAGGCTTGGAAGGTGGCCACCCTGTTTTTTTTCGTTGGGATTTTCCGAATGATTTTTGTTGGTCAGATTCCAATCTTCAACAGTTAAATCTTTGAAATCCCATGTTTATTTGGTTTAAATCCACCATGTTTGTGGCTTTGAAACCCACTTCTCCACCCACATTCTTTTTGCGCTGCAACAGCAGGAGCTTCTCGAGAAACTTGTGAAGGAGCGTATCCTGCGGCCGGACCACGATGCGAGGCGGGCTGAAACCCAAGAGAAATAGCACGCTTCAAAAACGGACGCATAATCCCTAAATCGTGGTTGATCGTGATTTGGCTATAAGACATTAGGGATATATTATGATAATTCATGATATATCATATCCCCAACATTGCAATTTTAAAGGGGACACCAACCAATGTTTCTCAAAAACAATGGGACGGCTGAGGGCAGAAGAGGCCCGAAAGAAGCGACGCATCTCAGAGGCCGGGGTCATCTACTCTGCCAGTAGTATCTTTCGTGCAAATGCTACATCAAGTAGTATTTGCGAAACATATGGTGCATGTAAATGTATGTAAATGTATGTAAATGTATGTAAACGTATGTAAATGTATGTAAATGTTGCATTTTGTCATTACTGTGTTTGAAGGGCGTCGTGGGCAGTTGGGATTATTCATTTTGGGTCGGGGGGTTATGAAATCGCAACATGTTTATGGGTAACCTGGAAACTGCTGTGAGTTTGCATATGTGATATGTTCAGAGATGACGTCGGGTATCCTTTGCCAATTCAGCATCGCAATTGGAAATCCTTAACTTAAGTAGATGATTTGCTGTTAATTACCCTCTGGTAAACTAACATAGCTATGGAAAATCACCATTTTTAATGGGAAAATCCACTATTAATGGCCATTTTCAATAGCTACGTTAAATTACCAGAGGGTAACTTAAGTAGATGATTTGCTGTTACCCTCTGGTAAACTAACATAGCTATGGAAAATCACCATTTTTAATGGGAAAATCCACTATAAATGGCATTTTTCAATAGCTATTTTGACATAACCAGAGGGTACCCATATAAAAACACTTGGAATTCTCCATAGCGAGCTCTATTTTGTTGTTGCAAGTGATCACCTTTCTAGCCCCAAGCTTTCACATTCGACCATGGCATATCCGCAATTTTGACTGTGAACCAATGGATCAACAACTATTCTGCACGAAAAAACACACCGGACATCGCTGATTTAGATACTTTTGAAGCAAAAAAAACTAGTTGTAAAATGTTGTAAACCACTTTTTTGAAGCGATTTTCAAAGATGTTCACGTCTTGGGAGAAAATTCTTCCAGGATATCCAAACGGCAGATCCTGGCTGCGCCAAAATGCACTGACCTTTTCTTGCAGGACTCCAAAGAGGAGACAGCTTCGGAGGCGAGGATGTGGAGGAATTCATGGTCATAGCCTCTGGTAAACATACAAAAAGCTTTTAAACATGGCCATTTATAGTTCATTTACCATTAACAATGGTGATTTTCCATAGTTATGTTAGTTTACCAGAGGGTAATATATATATATATATACTGTATATATATATATGTGTTGTATATAATATATGTATATATGACCTGATATGATATGAAATAATATATATATACATACATATGTACGATTATGTACTTATAATCGAAAAAACATAGGCACAACTGTCTATACATATAATTGCACACATGTATGCTATATTTACAGTACATATTTCTACAGCATATATATATATATATATAGATAGATAGATAGATAGATTAGATTAGATTAGATTAGATTGGACTAGACTAGACTAGATTAGATTAGACTAGACTAGATAGATAGATAGATAGATACATATATTTATGTATACGATTGAACAACACCAAGTTATACTCGATCTTTTCTGCCTGGTGACCGCCGCTTTCTCCAGGTCTTGTACAGGTACGATCGGGTGAATCTGAATCTTTGCGTCTACAAGAATCTTCTTTGTCGAGTGGTGGAGGCATCTGGTGTCGGGTTGCCATGGTATAGATGGCCCATAGAAATAGATGGTTTACCGTCATTAATAGCATGGTGGATCTTTCCATGGCGAGCTGTTAAATAACCAGATGGTACTTATTTTGGATGATATTTGGAGTGGTAGCGTTTCTGTGTGTAAGTGATGGAGGGCTGGACATTGCAGCAAACCTTGTTTTGGCTAGCTTCATGGGGGGTATTGAAATACAATCAATTGGGAGGAATAATCAGCCAAAACAGATTGTTTGGCCCACCATGATCTCACCATAGATGATAAGTAGGGGAAATCATCTGCAAATGGCCCAACTACCCTCTGGTTCTTTAACATAGCCATGGAAAATCACCATTTTTTATAGGTAAATCATCTATTTCTATGGGCCATCCAAAAACCATGGCTATGTTAAATAACCAGAGGGTATATCCCATTATCATCCCATTATTCACCATTGTTAACCATTAAATCACCATTTTCCTATGATAAACCAGAGGCTATCTTAGTCCCCAGAAACCGGATCCTCTGGTTTAAGTCATCACTGAAAAAATCTCTGAAAAGTCTTTCCGGATTCTCACGGTGAATTTCCCAAAAAAAACGCAAGGTGGTTGGTGGCTTGCCCCGCCCGTTCGTTAACGGAAATGACTGGCGCATGGTTTCCCAGTCCGACAATTACCAACGTCATCATGGTCAGGATAAGGAGAATCATCCAAAAATCAGCATTCAGTTCGAAAATCATCCCAATGTCCCTTTATTATATGTTTCTAGGTTCTAGATTCTAGACATACTTATGAAATTCTTCAGAATTTCACTTCAGAGCATTTTGCCCGGCCCAACTTTAGATCATGAGTCATCATGAGATATTCATCCCTTTCTTCCAACTGGAGGCTGGTCGTCCCCATGAACTCTTACCCATGGTCCAAACCAGTCCATGGCTGGATACCCAAAGTCATCTCTAAGTGTTTTTTCCCTTTTCATATGGATATATAATTATGTATATATATATACATTATATATTATATTATATATATAGTATGTATAATATATATATATATATATCCCATGATATTCCATAAGCACATCAATCCACATCAACAAACGCCATTCAAAAATCACACCACGAACCCAGTCGCGTGTCGCATCGTTACATGGGCAGGAACAGGTGGACGAGGCTGCCGCGCAAGTGATGATGGCCCTGTTGGGCTCCGTGACACCTGACAGCCGCTGACTGCGAAGTGGGGAGCTGGATGATGGCATGACTCATGTGGGTCAAACAATGCCATAGTTTAGTGAAATGTAACCACTAGTTTTCCACATCTATGTTAGTGATTAACAGTGATTCATAGTGGGAAACCCAATGCCATAAAACAATGTGGGTAAATTGGAATATGAACCGGATATTTTTCATGGACATAGAATCTTAGAAGAGTAGAACACTGCCATTTTTACCAGCCATGACTGGGAATGGTAAGTTTATACCACACACATATATATATATATATACATACATATTTATGGTGATAACTAGGGGATTGTTTGTGGCATTGTTTACATTAGTTGAAAGATATAGGTTAACCCCCAAGGACGTCCGACCAGGATTTGACCAGGATTGGATGGTTGCGCAGTGCAGGATTTCGTTGGCTCATCCACCGTATGAATGGGATACGAATGGATTTAATTTTTGGCTTCATCAAAGGTGTGGCAAGCTGGGAAATCATCTATTTTCATAGAATAGCTGGGAAAATCAAGAAACTAAATGGAGCATAGTCATCATATAGTAACCCCCAACAAAGATGCAGAACGGTGCGAAACCAGGATGATACAAAGGATATTTACCTTATGCTTCCAGGTGTTCAACTTTTCTATCTATTTGGGATTGCTATATAGTGATCAAAGATATTTTTTGGACGGATCAAAACCTACTACAAAAACTATTTCTCTTGGGTAACATATTCATCATGTTAGTGGACAATATTTTTGTGGACAACAAAACATGTTAATCCAATCATCACTCGGATTCTCATATCCAATCATTGCCCAAACACACCAGCCTCCCAGAAAAAGCTGAAAATGCACCCCGAGGTGGTGATAGCATCATCGAAAGCCCCATGTCCATTGATGCCATTCTGCGGCGCTATCAAGGCGCTTAAAATTTTGGGGCTTTTGGCATCGGAGAAATGGACATACCACAGGGATGATGGACAGCCTATAAAAATGCGATGATTTTTATCACCTATGAACCACTCAGGATGTCTTCCACAGTAGTTATCTCACTGGGCCAATGGGGGTTGTCCAATTTCGCACTCTTTCAGTGGCGCATTTTTTTGGGATCTTCACTGTAGCCGAGGAGGGGCACTAGATCGGCCTGGCTGAGAGAAAAGGTCCAACCCCAAGAATCACACGGCAAAGCCAAGGTATCCTTCAACCCCACCACAAGAAATCAGCCCATAGAGGGAGTTAGAGCTCCATTTTTTTGGATTCTTCTCTTCTTCTCAGTCTCATTTTCTCTGTCACCAACTTCCCATGATTCATTATTGGATTGGTTTAAGGTAGTTGGGACTGGAGCATTTTAACCAAAGTTGATGTGCAAAACCCATGGCTTTCCCTGCAGAGTTGTCCCATTGAGAATTCCGAACTCAGAACTGGGTCCAGAAATGGGTGCCCAAAAGGATCATTGGGGATTCTGATGATGAACGAGGGCTATTTTTCTGCAGTTTTTGGTCCGTTTCTTTTTTCTCCCCCTGAGAACCTCAGCTTCTCTGTTTCTCCGCTTTTCTGCTTCTCGGTTTTTCCCTGCTTTTTTGCTTCTCAGGCCTAAATCAACCCTAATCAACACCAAACCACCCCCCCCACAAAAACTAAGGCAACCCTAAGTAAACCCTAAACAAGCCAAAATAAACCTGAAAGTGCATAACCCCACATAAACCTGAAATCAACCCTGAATAGATCCAAAACCAACCCTAAATATATATAAAACCAACGCCAAGTAAACTCTAGACTCTAGACAAACCCTTGATAAATCTGAAATTGCCCCCAAATAGACCCTAAACCAACCCTAAACCAACCTTCAATTAAACCCTAGAACCAACCCTAAATCCTACATGAACCCTGCAAAATACTGCGCAATATGAACACTTCGAGCACCGAAATGTTGCAAATACCATGAACACCGAGAGGTTCGAACTCCAACATGTTGCAAATACCGTTGAAATGGCAGCTGCCAGCTCCAAAATTCTGCAAATAGCAAGGAAAATGGACAGAACAGGATATCAAAAAAGCACAACGGGAAAACACATCCCCCACGCAATTCCTGACCCATAAACCAAGGGACTTAGGAGTAGCCTGTTTTCAGACTGACAAAGTGATATTTTTTGAAAGAAGTACCATCTGGTTCTTTAACAGTTCGCCATGGAAAATCCACCCATTTTTAAGAACGGTAAACCGGTAAACCGAATCTATTTCGATTAGGGCCATCCAAAAACCATGGCTGTTAGTCATAACCAGAGGGTAACCATTAATATTAGCCATATATCAACCATTAATATTAACCATATAATAACCATTAATATTAACCATTACAGGTTGGAACCCCTTGCCAATGCCCCAATTTTTGCTGATTTTTTCCGTGGTGAAATCCTCAATTTTTCCATGCAGCCTCCGCAGTTCATTGGACCAGGCCTTTTCCCTCAGGGCGGCCGCGACCCCGCGAAGATTCGCGAGCGGCTTCGGCACAGTCTGGAGGTCCTGGTGCACAAGGTGCGGGACGACGTACGGGACGACGTACGGGACGACAGGGCCGTGGTGCAACTGGGAACTGGTGATTTCTGTTGACATTGGGACATTTGACCAAGAAACCTGGGGATCTGACCAACAAACATATTAATGAAGCACGGGATTTTTTTGAGAGACCAACATTGGGATTTTTCAGCAAAAAGTCAGGGTTTGACGGTTTGACCAACACGTTTTACGCTGCTTTCGACCCACAAACCCATCAGCATAAATAGTAGATCCCAACAAAGATGGGACACAGTACCCTTTGGTTTCATCAAACATGGCTGGAAAAAAGATGAAAAAAGTAATTTCCCATTGTCAAATCATGTATGGATACAAGTGAAGGGTGTTTCAGGTCCAGGTTGGATGGCTGAGTCTGGGTATTTGTGGCTTTCAACCTTGTTCTCCAAGGTTTGAATTCATCCAGATTTGCTGCTGGTCATTTCATGTGAATTGTTCACTCGTATTGCAGCACGTCGCTAGTCCCTATGCAGGTTTGGATGGTTTCATCCACATTGCTGTTGGCTGTATGAAATGCAGCTGGTATTTCTCCATGTTTGTTGCCGTATACTCTCCAAACTCCAGGTTTTTTCTCAAGGGTTTGAAAGTTTCGCTGGCAAATCCCCAGACTAAATGGAGGTTTAGACCTAGGAAAACAATCGAACCGGAGAGGAGAAATTCCTGCGGCAGATCACCAAGGCACAGAGCAAACCAGGGGGATGGCCATGTTCCAAGAGGAAATTCAGCGAAAAATGGTGATTTTTGACTTTGAAATTGGAGCTTTAGCCACAGAAATATGGCTTTGCCCGGTTTGCCCGGCGCAAGCCCCCCTACAAAAAAAATCACCAGATTAGCTCTAAAGTGGGGATTCTTGCGCAACAAGGCTTGGAATTTGATCCGTTGCGATTCGTCTGGTTCTCATGATTTTTGTCCAAAGAAATGAGCTTCAATCATTGGGATCAACTCCTGGCTGCCCAGAAATCGTTTTTTTTTTTTTTTCGGTTTTACCGTTGATGTTGCTGCTAGGGTTTGTTGGCTACATCACCATCATTCACCATCTAAGTTGCCCTCAGTGTTCCGACCTGGGAATGCCCACGGGAAATGAAGCCGTCAAGACATGGCAGGCGTGGTGACCAAACAAAAATGACGAAAATATACTAAAATAAAGGGGACTTAACCATGAATTTCATGGGATTCATGGGGGTTATCATGGGTTATCAGCACCCCTGGCCTGCCGTTCCGTAGTTCCCATAACTACTTTCTGATGTCCACAGAAAGTTCACCAGTGAACTTCGTGAAGACACTTCCGTAGGGATGTGCATCCCAGTGCTTTAATAATGGGTTCATATGATGGGATATTAACAATGGATTAATGGATATCTCATGATGGTTAATTAATATCCATGGGATTAAGGGATATCATGGATATAAATAATATGATGGTTAATTAATGATGGGTTAATATGATGGGTTAATGGATATAATATCCCATTGCTTGATGTTTTTTGAGTATTTCATCCCAGAATTCCACTGGGAATGTAATCCAACTATAGATGGTTTATAATCCATGACTGTCCATAACCCATATTCCATAATCACTGGGGGCATACCCTTTGGTAATTTAACATAGCTATTGAAAATTGCCATAGAAATAGTTGACTTGTTGATTTACCCACTAAAAATGATGATTTTCCACAGCAAACTGTCAGTTTACCAGAGGGTAACACGCATCATTTTTCTTTTTCCCCCAAAAAACAGGTCATTTGAAGTGATATTAAGTGAGGATATTCCATTAATCGAACATCTATAGCTATTGAACATTGCCACAGAAATAGTTGACTTACCCACTAAAAAATGTGATTTTCCACAGCTATGTTAGTTTACCAGCGGTTAACACTCATCATTTTCCCCCAAAAAACAAGTCATTTGAAGTGAGATTAACAGAGGATATTCCATTCATCGAACTGGGGGTATAACCACTAAAAAAATGACATAGAAATAGTTGATCTACCCACTAAAAATGCTGATTCTCCACAGCAAAGTGTTAGTTTACATCCCATATGGGGGCATTTCATTCCATACTGGGGGTATTTCATCCCACTAAGTCATGAATCCATACCCGGCCTGGTAATTTAACATAGCTATTGAAAATGGCCATTTATAATGAGTTTTCCCATTGATAGCATGGTGATTTTCCATAGTTATGTAAACGTTTACCAGAGGGTAACCCATATTCCATAACCAAGCTATGCCTTGCCGCCCTTGCCCCCTGGGAGGCCGAGGATTACACGGAGTGGCTGGTGGACACCGCACGCTGCGCCCACGTCCTACGATGCCTGGCCTTGTCCCAGCTGATCCGCGAACGCTTCGGTGGCGCAACGGGAATGGGGGGGACCTGGGGGGAGATCACCCAGAAACATGACCGCCAATCGAGGAGATACCCTCTGGTAAACTAACATAGCTATGGAAAATCACCATTTTTAATGGGTAAATCCACTATAAATGGCCATTTTCAATAGCTATGTTAAATTACCAGAGGGTAACATGATTTAACCATATCTAACCGGCAATTCTATGAGGAATTCTAACCATACTTCATACTTCACCAGCAAAAATGAGGATTTTTTACTACATCAAACCAGCAAAAATGAGGATTTCATTCACAAACATGATGATTTCAGTGGCACAATGGGGATATGATGGGAATGTTGGCCATCCAACAGTTTGCCTTGGAAAATAGGAACATGGAAACATCAAGTAACACATTTACGCATGGCATTGGAAAAAATGATAAAATGGATGGATCAACACCTTTTTCAATACCATAATTTTTGGGGATGAACATACACTTGCCAGCTATTTTGTGTTTACCAGAGCTACGGGGTTTGACCCATGGCCACAAACAAGGGCCATCAAGTTCTAATATACTGTACTAGAATAAAGGTGATGTTCAAACCATATCTGCTTGTTATATCGGATAAGGTGATATTGCTGTAGAAGTATAGTTAGACAGACATGGCTTATCATGTGTTGGAACCATAGGATGCTGTTTAAGTATTTGAAGTGGAAAACAATGTGTGGTGGTTTCATTTAGGTCAAAACATCAAAAAGGCTGCGACGCATACGATCTCGGAGTCAGCAGCAGGATGGACTGTGTCAGCTTTCACAACTGAACTCTGTCACTTCACTGGAGCATTGTCACTGGAACTCAGTGGCTGCTAAACCCCAGTTACGGTTGATGAGTTCGGGGATTATACTACCCAATAAATTGGGGATTACAATAATCCACTAGGGGAATCCCTATAAACCAACCAGTATTACATGGAGAGGAATTTTGAAACACTCTCATGTTGAACATCCGGATGACAAACCCCCAATTTATCTGGCCAAGACACCGCAGACTTCGCAGTCGCGCGAAAGCTGAGGTGCTGTCGGGCTGCGAATCTTCAATCTGTTGCAAGATGGCAATCCACCGCAGGACAATGCGTCAGTGCTGAGGGCATTGCAATGTCGATTCGAATCGCTTTCAAAACCAACCAATATGACTGATATGAGAGATTTTCTGGCTGTGTCCAAAAAAGTCGTGGATTTCCCGCCTTTCAGTGGCCATATGGCCAATCTTAAGGAGCAATATTTTCGGCTCTGGACACATTCAAAGACTCTAAGACCCTAGCATTTGCCTGATTTCTGCGTGCACGCGGCAGAAACTTGAAGAGAACCACATCTTCAACATCTGCATGATCCCTCTGCAACCTGGCCATATTGCTTGGAAAGGTCAAAACCTATGAATTTACGATATGACTGGGGGAATAGCCATCCATTAAATGACCTATTATTTAGGTGTAGGATTAGAACCAAAGATTTCCATATTTTTGGGTCAAAACCTATTGTTCCATCTATTTTGATGTTCACCAGGGGTACTGTACAAGGTTTTCCTCGAACTTGGCTCCCTGAAGTTGGTAAAACTACCCTGCTGAAGTTGAAGAAACTGGGAGCTTGTCCAAATTTGGGTTTGTCCTAAAAAATGGGGGGACACCAGACACCTCGAAAAAAACAATTTTGATATGTATAGAAATAAGTTATTTCTATTGTTACTATTATTATTAATTACTATTATTACTATTTACTACTATATATATATTTATTACTTGATTGGAGAAAATAATGATCGCCATTTTGGTGTATTTGATGTAAACAGAGTATTTCAAGTATTGGACATCTATTCAATAACCATCATATCATCAGAATATCATCAGAATATCAGACATTTTTGAAATAAACCATGGGAATTTGATACCCCACTTTGGACACTTGACGCAGCTGTGGATTTTTATGCCGATTTTTCAAAGCGAAAGGCAGGAAGGACGAGAAATCCTGCAGGCCATGGTCCGGCACTCAGTGTCTTGGCTGGGAATCAAAACGCGGGGGGGGAGAATAGCGGCCATGGCCATCCCAATGGCCCCCAGATCGCTGCTGAAATCGGATTTTTCTTCAGCCAGTCTCAGGTCATGGAGTTTTCTTGATTTTTCTTCATCTCCCAAATTCGAGGCCTAAAAAAAAACCGAACATACCCTCTGGTAAACGTTTACATAACTATGGAAAATCACCATTTGTAATGGGAAAAACTCACTATTTCTATGGCCATTTTCAATAGCTATTTTGACATAACCAGGCCGGGTATCTTCAGCTTCGCTCGTCCCAATGGAGCCTCAGCCGATGGTTTCTCAGGTCTTGCAGTTGCAGCAAGTGGCCAAAAGCAGCGATGGGGCGGTGGCCAACTCCGTGTGGTTGTACTACGTGGCGCCTCCGGCGGAGTTCATGGGGATTCAAGGGGGCCAAATATATAGGGGAACCATTGGAATATCATTTACCCGGCCTGGTAAACATACAAAAAACGAGGGAAAATGGCCATTTATAGTGGATTTACCCATTGAAGAATAGTGATTTTCCATAGCTATGTAAACGTTTACCAAAGGGTAAGCATGAAAAATGGGGATTTACTGGGACCAACGAAACCACCATGGCGTTTTTCATTTTGGGCACCGAAATTTGTATCGAGTTGACCAATGGTTTCAGCTCCAAAATCACTTCGTAAAAAGGAATGGGATCAAACACCATTAACAACAACATCCATCCCTACCACCAAAACTATGAACACATTATTTTTATATCTGTTTATTCTCATCGAATTCATGAACAACAACAACCATGTTATACTATTGTATAATTAAGTTATACATCCAATGGCTGAACCACAACTAGGCGGCAATGAGTTGAGGATGACTTTCACTGCACATCCAACCCGCGAAGAGCATCGAACCAATGGCGGTATATTTGTGTAACAATGGCGATAGGAAGGGAACTAACAATCATTTTTTAGAGATGACATGAGTGGGACGATGACAACGATGACAAAGAACATTTTTTTTTGAGAGAAACTATAGGTAAACAACATTTTGCCATCTCAATCTTCTGGAGTTGACCTCATTTGTATGACGCTGGTATGGGGCCTAATGCGGCATACACGTTCAGAGAGACTGGAACCTGGAAGCACCTCCATACGTACACATACACAAATCAGGAATTGAGGATGCGTGTGACCTGTAAACTTTCTTTCTTGATACCCTCTGGTAAACTAACATAGCTATTGAAAATGGTCCATTTATAGTGAGTTTTCCCATTGAAAATGGATGAAAATGGTGATTTTCCATAGCATATGTAAACGTTTACCAGAGGATAATGATTTTGTGGCCGTTGCTGTAGGAAAATTGCATCGGTTGACCACGGGAGGGACGTCCGTAGCAGATCAAGCCATAGACATTGGAGGTATATCCCCTGAATTTCCCCGGGATCATGTAGGATGATGCCAATTTTGGATGCTCAGAGGACTCAACCACCCCCAATTAGTTGAAGAGGACATGTACAGGAAACGCTATTTATTTTTTGGGGCAAAACCACATGATTCACTGTAGATTTACTTAGTAAAAGACTCCATTGAACCAACCAGTTCTCTGTTTCCCCCAGGAATTTCAGGATATATCATGATATATCATAGTCTATCAGTCATGTTCATTCATTTTCCCAATAATGGCCACAACAAAAAAGACGGGCCATTTCTCTGATCCCTTCCGGCACCTTTGTTGGTTTCCTCAAGGACCTGCGTCGGGTGCTGGCCAACACAGAGGACTTGGTGCTCAATGCGATCCTCAATCTACGGATCCGATTTCGCTCAGAGCCTTGGGAAAAAAGACATGGTCGAAATAAAATCGGTCGAAAATGGATCTGGGTTTGTTTCTGAGATCTGGATTGGGTTCTTGAAATTGGATATTCTTGAAATGGAAAGAATGAAGTCTTGAACATGGGTCCAGAATTTGGATGGAATGAAGGCCTCCGGACTTGAAAAAGGGAGGAGTACCCTCAGTTGATCTGGATAGGACTTTCCCAAACTCTGGTGTCGAACGAGACCTCAAACCAGGGGGCAATACAGTACTATAAGTAGTTTTTGCATGGCCTGGCATTTGTAGATGATCTACCAATTTGTTCACATGAGCCCCAAGTTTCTCGATAAGCCTCAGGAGAATGCCCGCATCATGCCTTTGGAGTGCCTTGGGTATCATAGCTGTCATGGCTTTCTGCTGCTCAATTTTTCCCCCTTTCATATGATATCATCTGATCCTCCCTGTTGCAGAGGGGGGGTTGAAACCAACCAGAAAATCTTGGGGCCCCAAATTTCTGCGGAGCATCACAGAGATGGTGGCATCTGGTGGCATCTTGGTGGCACCAGATTCCCATGATATTCCCATCTGCTTGGTGACTGGAACCATGGAATTTTGAATCACTTTCCCATCATATTGGGAATGGAAAATCGTGAAAATCATCCCAACTGACGAACTCACTCCATCATTTTTCATAGGGGTAGCTCAACCACCAACCAGATTATTATGAACCATCATTAACCATACAATAACCATTAATATTAACCATATACTAATAGTATATTACCAACCAATGGTAGGTTGAAACCACCAACCAGAATAATTATCAATAATTAATCATATAGTTACCATCTGGATATTTAACATAACCATGGAAAAGCCCTTATAAATGGAGGTTCCCATTCTATTCCCCTCCTTCGATCCATTCCGCAGAAGCCGCTCCAACAGCCTCACTGCCAAAGAGCGCCAGTTGCTGCGCGACGGCCGACGCGGAGAGGCCGCGTTTGAATGAAACGCCATTGGATGTTGGTGGCCAGTGAAATAGATCAAGAGGAATCACGATTTAATGGGTGTTTAATGGTGATTTCATGGGGTTTAATGGGGGTTTAATGGGATTTAATGGTGATTTCATGTTTTTTTTTGTGATTTAATGGTGATTTAATGGGGGAGCAAGCTGGTTTCACCTGGCTTTTCTTTGGCATGTCACGAAAGGGGGGCACCGCAGAGATTTGACCAGTGTTGGAACATCTGAAGCTGACGTGTCCCTTGATCCATGTCTGGGACATTTCCTACTCTTTACCCTCTGGTACACATACAAAAAACTCTAGAAAATCACCATGTTTGATGGCTAAATCAACTATAAATGATTATAAATGGCAATTTTCAATAGCTATGTTAGTTTACCAGAGGCTAAATCCCATGTTTTCTTTCAGAAACTACTCAGACTTCGAGAAAAAGCTCATATAGAAACTTAAGATCCCACCATTCCCTGGGAAGGACCTGCTGGAACGTGCCTTTCTGGTGTTGGATGCGGTGCTGCTGGTTTCCGGTTTGCTGAAGCGCTAGCGGTGCGCCATGGTAGCCGCTACTAGCCTAGCGTACTAGCCGCTAGGCTAGCTGGGGTGATGAATTTTGGAGCTATTTTTGCTTGGAAACCCAGCAATGCATATGGAAATATGATGAATCATGTGTGTTTGTCTGAAAATAGAGAAGCTCCAAATTTGATGGTTGATAATCATCTTCACATTAGAACTGCCCGGAGTAGACAAAATTTTCAGACAAACCAAAATGTGGATCTTGATGAATCTTTTCATGAATAATCAATGAGGGAAAATCCATATGTAACAGTATATTAACCATCATTAACCATATAATAACCATATATATATATATATAACCCATATAATAACCATATATTATCCATACTTTAATCTAAAAATCACAAAATCAGATGTGGAATCATCGTGACATTTCATCTGTATGTGATCAGTGAACCGGTCCCTGCTGAGTTCGTGAACGCAAGGAGAGCGATGTTTCTGACTTCCTAGGGAGAAACATGGAAGAAACATGATTTCTACCATCAAGTAGAGAGTTTACATGTTGAATGTTTTGGAATGCTTGCCAGTGTTTGCTGAAACAAATCGTAATACGGAACAACATAGACTTTGACAAAGAAACCAGCAGCCCATCAGCAACAGCCCATCAACAGCAACTGTCTTGAGCTTCCCCTTTTTTTCGGTGCCATAGTCGTCAAAACTTGGGTGAATCGCCGAGGTTTGGGGGATGGTTACCCTCTGGTTATGTCAAAATAGCTATGGAAAGATCCACCATTTTTAATGGGAAAATCCACTATTTCTATGGTCATTTTCAGTAGCTACGTTAAATTACCAGAGGGTACCCACGAAAAGCGAGATGACCGACATATGACCGACATCAGTCCCATAAAACTTGATGGCACAGGTGCCTTTGATGCCTGAGTTGCTCGAGAGCACGGCGGCCTAAGCCAATGTGTACAATAGTGGGATATAGTGGGTATGGGTCTAAGCCAATGTCCCTAGGGCCCTAGGACTCTGAGAGTGCAAAAAAAGTCGATCAACAAAAAAACTCACCAAGATTTTGGTTTCAGAATTGGTTGATGGTCAAACACCTTTTTCCCCACCTGCCAGGTGAGGGTTGTTAGATTTTATGTCAGTTGCCTCCTCCTCCTTCTCCTCCTCCTCCGCCTCCTCCTGCCTCGTCCTCCTCTCCTCCTCCTCCTCGTCCTCCTCGTCGTCCTCGTCGTCCTCGTCGTCCTCAACTGCGACCCGCGATCCACAGTGTTCTCTGCCGGACCTCAACCACGACCATCCACGCCCAGTGTTCCCTGCCGGACCTCAACCACGACCATCCACGCCCAATGTTCCCTGCCGGACCTCAACCACGACCATCCTCGCCCAGTGTTCCCTGCCGGACCTCAACCACGACCATCCACGCCCAGTGTTCCCTGCCGGACCTCAACCGCGAGTATCCACGCCAAGTGTTCCCTGCCGGACCTCATGTAGGAAGATATGGGACAAAGAATGTGCAGAAGAAAGTTAGAAAAAATGTCAGAAAGAATGTCAGAAGATATGCCAGAAGATATGCCAGAAGATATGCCAGATAGAATGCCAGATAATATGCCAGAAGATATGCCAGATAGAATGCCAGAAATTTGCCAGATAGAATGCCAGAAAATATGCCAGAAGATATGCCAGATAGATATGTCAGAAGATATGCCAGAAGATATGCCAGAAGATATGCCAGAAGATATGTCAGAATATATGCCAGAAGATATGTCAGATAGAATGCCAGAAGATATGTCAGAATATATGCCAGAAGATATGCCAGATAGAATGCCAGAAGATATGTCAGATAGAGTGCCAGAAGATATGCCAGATAGAATGCCAGAAGATTTGCCAGATAGAATGCCAGAAGATATGCCAGAAGATATGCCAGATCATATGCCAGAAGATATGCCAGATAGAATGTCAAATAGAATGTCAGAAGATATGTCAGATAGAATGCCAGAAGATTTGCCAGTAAGAAAATGTATAAATGTCATGGTGGGGATCACACGAAGTAAAGTAATTTTTTTGGTGTCAAAAACAACTTCAATTTTTCAGCTGCCGAACCAGCGACTCCCATGTCACTGGTGCAACCAGCAGATCATAGCAGATCCATACCCCTGGGTGGCGCCAAAGAAAGCGACAGAATTTCCTGTTGGAAAACACGTGTGGCACGGCTGTTGACGGCCGTGGGGAGCGGTTCGGAGGCGATTTTTGTTGCTGCACAAATTTCAACAATAAATGGGGAGCCAAGAGCTACCAAGAGTATCTAAGAGTTTCCCAACCGCATGATAGTTGAGCTGACAGTTTTGCTGAATTACTTCGCCTAAACATGCCTAAAGAATAGTAGGTCGACATAAACAAGTCCATGCTATCCATGTTTTGATGTTCTAAAGGGTACAACTCTTCTTCCTCATCCAAACCTGTCAATTGAAACTGCTGCGGTGATGCCAACAACTTCCAAAGGTGCTGGGTAGATATTGGGCAGGTTGAAAGCTCACTGTTTCCGCAGAGCTACACATGCGAACATATATGAACATATGATACCGAGTCAAACATATATGTCTTGCACGGTAAGAATTGCAATGTTTTTTTTTTTGGGGGGGATGTAATCCACTTGTGGTTCGATTGCATGTACAGGAAGAGGGTATCATCGTGGATTGTGGCACAGTGGGTCAAGCGACTAGTATAAGCTGGACGCAACTGGGCCTATGAAGAACTCCCCAATTTCTGTTTGATGTTTGTTGTAGCAGATGTACTATATAGAAAGTGTAACACGGGCCTTTCTTGTGCGCTTATATGTGATAGAGTTGTAGTTCCTGCACACTGTAGTCTCATTGGTTGGGAAACCAAGGAAAAGTATCCACTTCATTGTGTTTGCATGACGCACAAAAAGTACACAAATATCCAGATTGAATATATTATCATATATATATATTATATGCTGTTCTAATTCTAATTCAAGTTCCTATTCTATTCTATTCTATTCCATTCTATTCTATTCTGTTTTATTCTATTCTATATTCTATTCTATTCTATATTATATTCTTTTCTATATTCTGTTCTATTCTTTTTTGCTAGCTGAAAACATCTGTCTTTGTTGAATTGTGTTGAATCAACACCTATGTTGACACATAAAAATAACTTGGCATATCCCCTCAGACAGAAATCACGACCACAAGAACTGGGCGCTCAACCTTTCCACCATTGACAGGGTCCCAATTGGGCCTTGAATCTGGCTGCACTGATGGTGCGATTCCTGTGGTCAATGATCCTAGGTCAAGATCCAAATTGTTGTTGGTGATCGTCCTACTCAAAAGGCAACCTTCAAAAAGAGGATTTTTGGTAAAATCCAACTGACATGTGGAAAAATCGAAAATACACGATGTTCTATCTATTTTTGGGCTACTATTTTTCACCACTGACTATCATTTTGATGTTTTCACTAGCAAAAAATAAGTGTAAACATTGACATGTTTTACACTCAATAGATCTCAATAGTAAACACGACCTCTTGCTATCACCACTGCTATGCTATCATTTGGACAGTGCCATCTTCAGGCGCAAAGTGCCGAAGATGGCGTGGAAATGGTGCGCGACCTGGCGGGGTGATCTGCCATGGATTTCAGGTGGTCTTTTTGGAAGGCTATCTCTTGAGCCATGAAGAATTCGCAGCCTACAAACGCTAGCTAATGGTAAACCACAATCCTTCTTTTCCTTGTGTTTTTGGCCTTTTTGAGGTGAAAAGCTTGCGTTGAAATGATGTCCTTCCAAAGTATGTACAAAAGTGTCAACAATTAACTAGTTCTTGAATTTTTGAATTATGTTGATTTGGGTTTTCCTTTGAGAATCTTCGTACTGAAGGGGTGGAGAAGTGGTGTTCCTTCATCATTGGCCTTAGCATTTAGCAAATAATTCACTCGTTTTTTGGGATGGGTTGGAACCACGATCCAGAATTCTTGTTACTTGGATGCCACTCTTGATTGATGAGCCTTTCCCAAGATGAGATCGTCTTAGTCTTTGTTGGTCTCTGTCAACTTATGTCCATCTTGGAAAAGTGTTTTTCTGTCATTGAGATACATCAACTCCACATTTCTTCTCAAGCATCCACATGTGCTTTAGCCATGTCGAGTCACATGGCTTATTTGTCATAGAATCATAGAAGCTTATTATGGTCATCCCAAATGTTCCCATTGGGGTTTTGCTAAAGAAAGCGCCCATTGTATGAGAGAAATTCGTTGTTGTTCAGAGGGATGACCGGGATGACCAAAGACCATGGAGAGGAGAGTTGTTGTGATGCATGGATGGCAAAGCGAACACACTGATGGATCGAAAGGTGCTCGAGGTTGTGAGTCTCTCTCTCTCTCTGTGTCTCGTTCTGTTAGTCCCTCTCTATCTATCTATCGAATCTATCTATCTATCCATCTATCTATCTATCTATCGATCTATCTATCTATCTATCTATCCATCTATCTATCTATCTAACCAACTAACTATCTAACTGACTAACTAACTAGCTAACTAACTAACTAACTAACTAACTAACTAATCTTTCTATCCTATCCTATCCTATCCTATCCTATCCTATCCTATCCTATCCTATCCTATCTATCCTATCTATCCTATCTATCTAATCTATCTAATCTATCTAATCTATCTAATCTATCTAATCTATCTAGTCTATCTAATCTATCTAATCTATCTAATCTATCTAATCTATCTAATCTATCTAATCTATCTATCTATCTATCTACCTATCTATCGATCTACCTATCTATCGATCTACCTATCTATCGATCGATCTATCTATCTATCTACCTATCTATCTATCTAATCTAATCTAATCAAATTCAAAATCAAAATCAAATCAAATCAAATCAAATCTAATCTAGTCTAATCTAATCTAATCTATCCATCTATCTATCTATCTACCTATCTATCTATCTATCTATGGATCGATCGATCGATCGATCTAGCTATCTATCCATATATCTGTCTATCTATCAATCTTTCGACCTACCTATCTATCTTTCTATCTGTCTATCTCTGTATCTTTCTATCCATGGACCGATCGATCTATCTATCTACCTGTCTATCTATCCATCCATCAATCTTTCTCTCTCTCTCTCTCTATCTATCTGTCTATCTATATATCGATCTATCTATCTAATCTATTCTATTCTAATTCTATTTCAAATCAAATCTAATCCATCTATCTATCTGACTACCTGTCTATCTGACTATCTGACAATCTGACTGTCTATATGTCTGTCTATCGACCTATCTAGCTATCTATCTTTCTATCGCACAGGAAGCAACTATGCGAGACTTCCTTCAAAAACTGAAAGTTCACAGCTCCAAAACAAAGCAATTCTGCGACACCTACTCGAATGATGCATGTTGCGAGACTTCTTCAAGTTTTGACTTTGACACTGTCAAAAATGAAGCAGTTATGCGAGCCTTCAAAAATGGCAAGTTGAGTGCGGAGCTGACGGCCTCGTGCCATGGCGTTTTAGGATTCTTCCACCTCATCTGTCTAAATTACTGCGCTTGCCACCAAAAAGTGACGCCAGGTCATACGAAGTGCTGCACCTGTCACGCAAAATCATCGTAGGAAACCTTAAGATCTCCAAAATGAAACCCCTCTCAGGAAATCACCATCTGACTTCCTGACATCTCTGATGGAGATGTCTCTTGTACAACGCATGCCACCTGAAATGCATCTTTGCAGATCCTCTTCAACGTCCCACACCTGCCATCATTTTTGCAATTGCTACGAAACCTTCATGTTGTGCCCATTGCGCCTGCCACGCATAACCATATCTTAACTTCAAAAAGTGGTCTGAAACCGTCAGTTTTTAACACTTTTGACTTGTGAATGTGCTTCGCGCCACAACAGCTTGCACTTTTTCGACATCTCAACTTCCAAAAGTGGTCAGAATGTGTGGTGTCTCTAGCATTTAGACTTCGAAATGTGCTCCGCTCCACAACGCCGTGCACTTTTTCAACAACTCAACTTCCAAAAGTGCTCCGACGCCTCACCCGCCGCTTTAGCGAGGCTATTTTTCCACCATCCGGAGCCACAAAAACATTCAAAAAACACCGTGTTTCGTGCTGACCCCTTAACTTTTAGCGCGCATTGATCTTCTTTCTTCTGACTCTTTCTCTTCTGACTCTTTCTTTTCTCTGATTCTTCTCACCACTGTTGCTGCATCTGCTCATACGTCGCAAGTTTGGTTTCTAAATTTCCTTCGACAATATTGTTGGTCACACCATGTCATATCTCCATTTCTATCTTCAGTTTTGTTGGCTAAATCAACAATTTTTATCAATTTTTCATACCATGGCAGCCTTTTCGATGGCAAACATGGCACTCTTCGGAAGCGGGTGTGAGGCCATCACAAGCTTTTACCAGGAGCTGAAAATGAAGGCGGGGACAAGACGTGGGGAAATGTCCGCGGGCATGGTTTCAGGTAGAACCTGGGCATACAACCGAAAATCGGCCATCGGCAAAATATAGGTTTGCAAAGAAATGGGGTCCCCTTCACGAACTTGACCCATTCAAAAAATGGAACATGAGTTGTTGTTGAACTAAACTAAACCATCGGATTTTGGCAGTACCATCTTTTTTGGACAGGCCGTTATAATTTTCCCACACAATGATAAAGGGACTAATTTGGGCAGATGCGGCGCGTGATACGTAGTCACTGGCGTTGGTTAGTCGTCATGTCGCCCGGATGATTTTTGCCGGTTCCATCCATTTAGATTTTAAGACGTTTTCGGCGATTCCTCCCGTTGAAACAATGATACACAATGATGCTATAGATCGCAACTAGTCTCTGTCGTGATCATGCGGCATGCCCAACATTTTACCAGTAGTTTGGTTACATCCCCAAGTCCCCAAGTCTTTTTTTGTGAAACATCCCTGGTTTTGATGCGAAATCGCCTTTTCAGTGGCTCATGGGACCCATGGGACCACCACTTACTGATTCAACTGATCATGGTGCAGAAAACCGTCTGGAAAATTGATCTGAAGAAAATTTCCGAAATGGGCCTGAAAATGGTGTATACCCCCAAAAAAGGGCCATTTCAACAGGGAACTTGAGTTTTAAAGCATTGGATTTAGTTTTTTTCTTCCCTAATTTCCTACATTTTCAGACAAAAACCCTTATATTCACCCAACTTACACGATTCCCGGGGTTCATCGGAAACGATGGACGGATGTGAACTTGGAAATGTTTTTTTTCTTTGAGTCAAAAAAAGGAACATCATCTACACATGATATTTGGTATATGGTTAAGTATGTTGAACCTCCAGATCACCTTTAGATCTGTAGATTCTATCTCGTTTTGGTTGGTGGAACCATGGAACTCGTTGGAACCCGCCATTTTTTGTTGGACCACGATTTCAGCACCACAAAAACTCCAGGTGAAGCAAACTTCCACTTCAAAGCTCTTCACTTTGCAGCTTCTGGCACAATGTGACGTGGTGGAGGACAGTGCGACATTTCTCAACTGTGATGATGGGGCTAAACCTTCTTTTGTTTGATTTAAGCAACAAAAATGCCATAAGCTGGAGATATAACCAACACTATGATATTTGGGCATGTCAGAAAATGGGGTATGTACCGCATTTTTACGCCCAGAAAAATGATATCTCAAGGATATGATGGCTGTGGGACCATATTGGATGGATTTTGCTCGCCTCTTGAAGCTGAACGATGAGACAATGTTTACTCCCGGTTTTGTGGATTTCAGAGCTTAAACTTGGATGGTTTTAGAACCCATCAATGCTGACCCCATCAATGTTTAGAATATGTTGGAATCCCAATTGTTCTTCGTTTACAAAGTTTAGAACCAGTTTCTTGCCGCTTTTTGAACCACATGTTCACAGATTTTCTCTCTTCAACCGTCCCTGGTTCCGCTTTTCCAAGGTAAGGCACAAGAACGCGAGCTGCAAGTGGTGCAGCAGCGGAGCATGGAGGCTGCGCAGATGCTACGTGAGCTGTGTAAACAGCACGTGGCCCTGTGTCCCGATGGATTTTTCGGGATGGCATGGTCAACTTGGTAAACGGAGACGTGGGGAGCTTTTTTCCGTAGCGAAAATATGGATTAACATGGGCCATTGAGAGTTTCTAAGATTCTAGTTGGTTCTAGTTTCTAGATGATTTACCAGATCCGGTTTCCATAGCAAACTCTTAGTTTGCCAGAGGGTATACATGTCAGATTTACCCAGCTGGTGATTCTTCAGCAGTGGGATATACCTCGATGATTTTCCCAACGAAACCTCTGATTTTTCATGGGGTATTTCCCATCTTTGATGACCTTGATGACCTTGGAGGGTAGTTCGGTTTGAACTATACAAATCTCAGGACTTGGAGCTTTTCAAAGCAACCGCAGCCAGTCTCCTTTTTCAATTCCGGTTGGTGGTTGATATAAAACTCGTTTCCATGAGCTAAGGAGCCAGGGCTATTCATATTCCCTTTATTCTCTGTGAAATGGGGAGTCAGTTGGAGCTACTACTTCGTGATGATAGGAATTGTCAAGGAAATCCAATAAGTTTGGCAATTTTTTCATCATTGGGATTGTGTTTTAGGGCCAATTGCCACCCAGCCCAACTTTCCCGCCTACACAAACAAGTGGGAGGAAAGCCAACCCAGGATGGTTTCATGTCCAAGTGCGGTTTCCCCTTCAAAAACACCAGATATACCCAGACCTTCCTAAATCCACTCTCTGTCCGTAAACCCACCTTGATGTCATCCAAAACTGAACAAAAACGAGAAAAACATCGTTTTCACAAAAACAGCCGATTTGACCCACCAGCGGGGGCTCCATCCCCCGATTTTCCATGGCCATTTTGGAATGCCATGGCACCCTTCGCAACGCCCGCGTTCCTGGCCTTGGCCACGGCCACCGGCATTTTTCGCGTCGCTGGCTCCGTGCCGGCGCTGCTGAGGGTGCGGACGTCGCGAGCGCTGGGGGCGAACACCTTTTCGACGATTCAAGTTCTGGTGGCGAAAATGCGGAAGTGGGAAAAGTCAACCATTTTTTTCTGATGGTTAATTATTATATATCATGGGAAGTGGGTTATTATCATGGGAAAAGTCTGGGAAAAATGTGAGGGAAATCTGGGAAATCTGGGCAAATGAGGGGAACATCTGGAAACCCTTGGGTTTAAGTATCAACAATAAGGGGTTGTAATTAACCTTGCTAACTACAAAGATCTGGGGAGCACTGGGAAACAGGGGAGCACTGGGAAACACATATATAGTAACCACACATCGAATATAGAAAGGTGGAACAACAAAGTGGGATTTTGTTGGTAAGTTACAATTTTTGGACAACCCCAAGTGGAATACTTCGGGGTTTAAGCCACAAACATAGCAGGATATCAACAAACCTGAAGGGACATGCCAACAAGCCACTGGATTTAGGGAGTTCCCGGGGTTCCCTATAATTTGTCAGGCGCATGGTGGGTAAACCTATCATGGTCCTGTCCATGAAAAATCAGAACGTATTGTCCATATGATAATGAAGAATCCACATGCATATTATATCATATTCATATTATTATGTGGGCCATGCATCTTTCCCAGATTGTGGCTGAGCCACCAAAATGCTCTATTTATATACATCTGCTTGTGCATTTGTCCGCAAATTGGCCTTCAAATGTATTAACATGCTACGTATACATGGATAGATTATCTAGGGGTTCTAGGAAAACCACAATGCTACTCATTTTCCACATGTACGGGGAAACTTTATATGATGTAGCTCAGCCAGAGGCAGATTTTGGTGATTGACTATCTATACAGTGGCATGCTTACCCGCTATGTTGGTAAATCTGCATTTCACACACGAGATTATATATTCCCATGATTTGTCTAAGAGATAATTTTTACAGGACACACCCATATTTTTTGGTATGATCATGGGGTTTCTGCAATTTTTCTGTGAACTCGACACATATGATAGTAACAGTTAAACACTAACACCCATTATCTGCAGATACGCTTCCTAAAACAATTTGCTTGTCATAGCTACATTGGTTTTTCATAGGCTATTTCATAGTCTTCTGAGTAAACCGTGGGTCCCGGATAGTTTCACAGACGTCACTGGCATGATGGGACTTGGATTGACGTAGCAAAAACCCAAGTCAAAAAGCACAACAGTTGAGATTGCTGAAGCATTGCAATGTATCCAGTATCTATATACATATTATATATATATATAGAGCTGGTCAAATAAGATCCTATTATATCATATTCCATTGAAACCACATTAAAGCCTCATCAAATCACCATGAGTATGGTAAACCAATAATAAACCACTAAACCATCCCCAAGTCATCACCAAATCACCATGAGTATGGTAAACCAATAATAAACCACTAAACCATCCCCAAGTCATCACCATTTTTATGATTTTTTTCTGGCTATATAAACCCTCCCCAGTCATGGTAGTTTTTTTTTTAATCGGCCCACATGAATCCATGCTTTCTCCAGATTTCTGGAGACAGTGAGGCCTTTGAGATCGTGACCAACGCCAGCTGTCGACCCATGTGGACCGACCAGTTTCTCGGAACACAACGAACGGTGCCATCCGTTGACATTGGCATTCTGCGTCTCAGCTGGGACCGGCCCAAATGCCCAGTTAGCCAGTTAGCCAGTCTTCATGTTCCGTCCTGTTGAGGTAGATGATCGCATGTGACTGAAATTCTCATCACTGAGATTTTTCTGATGTGAAAACCCTTCAGTCGAGAGGCAATCCCTAAAAAGAATCAGTCAGTGAGCCGGGATTTACCCTCTGGTAAACTAACATAACTATGGAAAATCACCATTTGTTATAGGTAAATCAACTATAAATGGGCCATCTTCAATAGCTATGTTAAATTACCAGAGGGTATTCATCCAGGGATGACATGTGGGGTTGAGACTTCGGAACCTCCAAATCCATCCAAATCCATCCCATGATCCTCGTGTTCCCCGTTTCTATAGCCATTTGGGTACCCGGGCACCTTTGGACAGATCCAAATCATATGGTTGCATATTGCTATTGTTATTGAGAATTATGGATTATTAGTAAGCATTATTACTATTCATCATATATATATATATATCATGTATATATATATATATATCATGTATATATATATCATATATATATTATTATTATTATTATTATTATTATATTATTATTATATTCCATTTAAAGGATTGGTTCCCTTGGCCAATTTCTGTTCATGGCACCAGGAAGGGAAAAGGCTACTGCCAGCTGCTCTCGCAGAAATGTCAACCGTTTCATCTGGGGATGGACTGTTGGGACCAATACGAGATGATCGACCGTGCTTTGGCACACGGGTCCGACGGGCGACGGGTTGGAAGCAGCCAGAAAACATCATAAAAACATATAAAAAGCGTGATAAAGCATGGTTGGATGGTTGGTAAAAAACCATGTAACAACATAATATTGTTTAACCGATAACAAAACATCATTCCTGAAGTTCATCATAACCGCAGCATTTTTGCCATTTTTTTTTAAAGTAAAACATTATAGATGACCATGTGCAAGAAAAATATATATAGAAGAGGTTCTTGGTTTGAAATCATCATTTTTCCAAGTCCCAGTTGCTAGCACAAAGTTGGGTTCCCATGGACATCTTGCCATATCTTGCCAAGTCGGACAATTCTCGACCATGCCCTGGCCTCACATTTTAAATGATGGTTTATATCTGTTGAATCATCCAGAAAATTGATGACTTCCAGATGCGATGGTTTATAGCTGCAGAGCTCTGCCTGGAACCATCTGGAACCCAGGTAGCCCGTAAAGAAACCGCCTTCGGTGTGTTCCGTCGGCCACCATGGAAAGAGCTATCCTGGAAACAGCACTTGCATAGGCTTAGGAAGAACATAGTTTTTATGTAAAAGATGATTTTTGTGCATAACACGGTCTTTGTAAAACAAGCGTTTTGTGTAAACTATGGCTTTTACGCAAAACATGGTTTTTGTGTAAACCACTCTTTTGAGTTTAAGCCAAAGCATGAGTGTGTAAACCAGGGTTTTGGGAAAAGGCCATGTACAGGTCAGCTTAACTAATTTAACTATGGCCTGAATGGAGGAATCCATAAAAATCTACGAACTTTTTATGTTTGTTTTTTTACAAACCAACCAACAAAATGAAACAGTCACCAGAAAGCTCAGGCGGTTGGCACAAAGCGGCCACATTCGCGGTGGGCATTGTACCACCGGTGGTGCTTCTCTTGGCGTATATTGTCGCCAGTTGCCGCAGCCAATGGAAACGCGGAGCCGCCCAGGTCACTGATGACAAAAGCGATGACCCCTTTAGGGAAGTTAACATGACAATATAACACTAATATAACAGTTACATATAGTTACACATAAAGTGACATGAATATATAAATATAATTATATATTATATTATATTATATTTTATTATATTATATTATATTATATTATGTATTATGATATCTCACAATTTTACCGCAGTTTTTGGCGATCGAACCTCATTTCGTGCGAAAAGGTTGCGCCCGGACGCGAGAAATCGCAATTTTACCGCAGTTTTTGGCGATGGAACGTCATTTCGTGCGAAAGGGTTGCGTTTCGTGCCGTCTCGTTGGCACTGCCCCGCGCCTTCAAGAGAGAAATAGAAAAGAAGGAGAGAGCAAGAGGACAAGAGAGCAAGAGGGCAAGAGAGCAAGAGGGCAAGAGAGCAAGAGGGCAAGATGTGAGGATGTGAAGATGAGAAGATGTGAAGATGTGAGGATGTGAGGAGAAGAAATGTGAAGATGAACAGATGTGAAGATGTGAGGATGTGAAGATGAGAAGATGTGAAGATATGTGAAGATGAGAAGCTGTGAGGATGTGAAGATGTGAGGATGTGAAGATGTGAAGATGAGCAGATGTGAAGATGAGAAGATGTGAAGATGTGAGGATGTGAAGATGTGAGGATGTGAGGATGAGAAGATGTGAAGATGAGAAGATGTGAAGATGTGAGGATGTGAAGATGAGAAGATGTTTCACAGACCCCCACTATTAGAAGAACCCTGCGCTCAGACGCTCTTGGGAAAAAAACAAAGCAAAAGGTGGACACTACCATCGACCAACAAATATTGAACAACATGAAAAAACGAAAAAAACAAAACAACAAAAAACCATGGAACAACCAAAAAAATATTTTGAGACTCTTTGGGGAGGACCCCATCCAGAAAACTAGAAAACCAAACATAACACTATTTTGAGAATCTTTGTGGAGGACCCCCTAGGTCCAGGACCTTTGGAAAATTGTGTGTGTTTTTTTTTGGGGGGGTTTTCCATTTTTTTTGTTTTCTAGTTTTCTGGATGGGGTCCTCCCCAAACAGTCTCAGAATATTGTTGGTTCTTTGGTTTTGTTTTTTTTCTCGTTTTTTCATTTTGTTCAATATCTGTTGGTCGATGGTAATGTATTTTTTCACAATTTTGAAGTTCATGGGTAATGCTTGCAAATATACAAAAAAACTGCAAATACCAGTCAAAGTTTTAAAACGGTAGTTTTTTTTGGGGGGGTGCCATATATATATATATTACTAGATAGATGTAGATAGATAGATAGATATATATATATTGTTACGCCATATATGTATATATATATATTACTATACAGGTTACTATATACATATATTACTATATATTACTATTTATATTACTATATATGTTACTTTTAAAAATACTACATATATACATATATATGTAGATATTTTTTCTCTATATATATATAATACGATACATATTACTATTTACATATTACTACAAATATTACTCTATATATTACTATCTATATTACTATTTAAATATATTACTATATATATATATGTTTTACTATGTGTATTCTATTTATATTTCTATATTAATAAATTACTAAATATATTACTGTGTATATTTTTCAATATATATATATTACTAAAACTATTTTTTTAAAAATATATATATATAAATATTTGTATTACTATTGATATTACAATAAATATTGCTATATATATTTATATATTTGTATTACTATTGATATTACAATAAATATTGCTATATATATATATATTACTATATATCTATATTACTAAATATATATATATATATATTACTATATTTATATGTATAATACTATATATATATATTACTTTCTATTTATATTACTATATATATATATATTACTGTATTTATTACTATACATATATTTATATATATGTATATTACTATTAATATTATATACATTGCTATATTTATATTACTATATTTAGATTACTATATATATTACAATATATATAGATATATATATAAATAGATATTACCATATATATATATCTATATATTACTATACATATATTTCTGTATACCTATTACTATATATATAATATATATAGTACTATATTTATATTACTGTATGTATATAAATTACTTTTTATTTATTTATTACAATACATATTACTATATATATATATAGAGATTACTATATATATATATTGCTCTATACATTACTATACATGCATATATATATATATCTTTGTATATATATATATTACTCTATATATATATATATCACTATATATATATTTTACTCTGTATATATATATATATTTATTACTTTATATATTACTATATATATGACTAGATATATTACTATATATATTTCCATATGTATATATTACTATATTTGTAAATATTTTTCCTATTTGTATATATACATTTTACTATTTATATTATATATATATATTACTATATATATATTACTATATATATATCACTATATATATATATTACTGCATTCATTTTACTATATCTATTTTGATTATATTTATATTACTATATATATATTACTATATATATATATACATTACTATATATATAATATATATATTACTATATATATATTACTATATATATTACTATATATATATATACATTACTATATATATTTATTACTGCAGTCATTTTACTATATATATTTTTTAATATATTTATATTACTATATATATATTACTATATATATGTGTATTACTATATATATATATTGATATATATATATATATATTACTATAAATATATAGCAATATATATATATATATCACTATACTATATATATATATTACTATATATTTATAGTAATATATATATATTTCGATATTTTTATAGTAATAAATATAAAGTAATATTTACAAATAGTTATATATATATATAGTAATATAGAGTCACCTTTAGGGAAGCTACTGTACCTACTTTAGGTATCATATTGGTGGTTTGGAACATGAATTTTATATTTGATATATTGGGAATAATCATCCCAACTGACTTTCATATTTTTCACCAGATAAATGTTGACCCATCCCCCTGAGAACGGCCACCTCGTCTCCGACAGCGACGTCGCCAGCGACGGCAGCGGCAGCGACAGCTCTACCGAGTCGGGCGAGTGCGCCCAAAACCACTGGGAGGATCCAGCGTGGGCAGCCATCACCATGCAGCAGCTGTTGGATTTGCACCAGAAGGCAGGGAAAAAAAACTATAGAAATTTGGAACCCCAAACAATATCCAAAGAATAAATGAACCGTAGTGAAATCCTGGGGTAGTGAAGAATCTCTACATAACAAATGGTTGGAAGTGGAGATCTGGTTGTAGTTCTTCGGATGTCGCAGGTATATAGTTCTATAGCCAGAGGGTTAAATTCCATCACTTAAACACGGTTACAATATGTTGCAGTATAAATATAACCAACATGAATCATCGTAAAAAACCATGATTGACCGTCGTGAAACAAGACAAATAGTCATTTAACCAGCTTGAACCATGTGTTTTCTGTACTATTTTAGCCATCACGAACCATTTCTTGGATCATCAGCAATCTGCCAGGGATTTGAAAGTTCCCATGGTTTGAATGCATGGTTCATACATGTCCTTGGTCCCATGAACTACCATGTAAGATCATGTAAGGGTGGGTAAACTACCTGGTGATCTTTTTAGCCACGATTCAGCAGGATGTCCAAGACTAGCGATGAATGCACTGAGAATTGGACATAAATGGAAGTTTGGATGGAAGATGCGAAGTTCATCGACGGAATTTGGTGGGAATTAGTGAGAACTTGAATTTGTTTCTTTTTTGGCAAAGCTGCGCTATCAAGTAGATATCCACAAATAAATATTAAACCAATAGCGCATAAATTTCATATCCAGTAGATATCCAACATTTATCCAACCATAAAACCCTCCATTTTTATCAACCGATATGTGGATTCTAGTGGCCAATTTTTTATAGAGTATCCCTCCGCAGCAACGGTTTGTTGAGTTTCCCATATTTTCCCATATTTTCCCATATTTTCCCACTATGAAATATGGGAAACTATGGGAAAAAAAACATGGGAAAGTCATGTTAAACCAATGGATTTTGGAGTATCCTTTCAACAATCCACCACCAAGAGGGTCTGTTGGTGCCCGCGAAGTGCAGGTGTTTTGATGGAGGTTTGATAACATGGGGGTGTAGCCCAAGTTTAAGAACCCCCTGAAATTTTCAATATCACACCAGCCGAAGCAGCAATTTGCCCAGCCGAAAGTGGAAATGATAGCTACAGCCAAGTGCTTACACATGACCTGCAGGCGAGACAGGAATTCCAGGACGAATTTCCCAACATCACGATGCACCATGTGAATCCTGGAACTGCAGTTCAGCCGATCTTTTGAGACGTTGAAGTTCTTTCTTTTACCAAAAAATGGAAGTTTCCAATCCATAGGGTCACCCCTAAATCAACAATTTATAGATGCCTTTCCAGGAGAAAAAACAACTATCCAGCTATTGGGGAACCATGACATACCATGACTTGTCGAAACCTCCACATGATCTTCAAGATTTGAGACTGATCCAGGAACGCTCGGATCCTTCAACCTCTATGTGAAAAACATGGGAAATGCTATGCCCACATTGTGAACGCAGAGGACGGAGCGCAGTGCTAGGCTGTGCTGAGTCGCTCGAATTATACTTCTGTTGATTGACTGTATATATATATATATATACATATATATAGACACTGTAAAACGATCTATCTATCTAATCTAATCTAATCTAAATCTAAATCTAAATCTAAATCTAAATCTAAATCTAGTCTAAATCTAAATCTAAATCTAAATCTAAATCTAAATCTAATCTAATCTAAATCTAATCTAATCTAATCTAAATCTAAATCTAATCTAATCTAATCTAATCTACCTATCTATCTATCTATCTTTCTATCTATCTATCTAACTAACTAACTATCTATCTATCTATCTAGATATAGAGGAGGTTTTACCAACTGGATTTTTTTGGGGACTGTGACAAGCGGTACAATGAACTGCACTTACCAACCAGGCCGAGGTCGCATTGCCTGTGGCCCATAGCCATGTTAGCTACACTCGCTACTGATGGGGTTGATGGCCAAAAATCTTCCGTTGTTCCGGGGCTTCAACCGGAAATAGCCATGGTGTTTTTTTTATTTAACTCCAGCCATTGAGGATGTGGGGATCATTTTTCACTACCAGAGGGGTTCAAAACCATGGCTATTTTTTGGGGTTTCCAAAAATGAGGTCGCCCTTTATCGCTGGATGGCTTCAATGGAAAATCCATCTACAAATGGATGATTTCTGGAACTAGGATACTCCGGGAATTGGAACCAGGTTTGTCTGCAACGCTTCCCGGAGTTTTTCTGGGGCCAGCTTCGTTACCAGTGGGATGACATGATCAGCCTCTGATCAAACATGGCAATGCAAAATCCACAATTCAATAGGATTGTGAGTATTCAGCAATAGGATCCACCTTCCCAGTTAAGTCTTAGTTAAGTTGTTAAGTTCGCATTTTTTTGGCTATTCCAAGCATCCACATGGGTGGTTTATGCCAACCACGAACATCTCTGGTAAATGCGTGGAAATCTTCCCAGGTTTCGGGTTGTCGGATGGACCAAGTGATGATGGGATGTTTTCTTCCCGGTCAACGGTGAGGATCTGCACCTGGTTTATCCACGATGTTTGGATTCCCATGGGACACCGGGATGACGGGTCCAAGTCCAGGAGCCGTTGCTTCTCAACGTTTTTGTGAGCCACGCATGGCAAGAAGGCTTTGACGAGTTCGTCCAGTATGTCGCTGCTGGGCTGGCACGACGTGTTTATTTTAAGGACCGGGCACCATGGTAAGATTCCCAGATATTCTTGAAGTGAAGATTCCCCGACCATGATTTTACAGAATATACAGTATATAAATGTATATAATAATATGTACTGTAATATGTATAGCATTACATATATTTGTATTTACTGCTTCCTAAGTTTTTTTATTTATTTACTGCTTCCTAAGTTTCATCTGAAGCAGGGGCATTTTCGCAGAGGCTGCTGGGACGTCGTCACGGTCCTTTCGCTTTGGGACAAATCCAGTGTTTTTTCTGGCTGAAACCTGAGTCATATGCCCCCAAGTTGTAAGCTGATTTCGAATCCTCATTCACTGTAGAAATATCTACCATAAAGCCATAGTTCACCTATCTCAATCTACCTATTACCCTCTGGTGAACTAACATAGCTATGGAAAGATCCACCATGCTATTAATGGGAAAATCCACTATTTCTATGGCCATTTTCAATAGCTATATAGTGGATTTTCCCATTAATAGCATGGTGATTTTCCATCGTTTTTTGTATCTTTACCAGGCCGGGTACACCAACTTACCATCCTCCGGGACCCCCCCTTTTTGCTGTGGAAAATTCATCGAGGCTTCGCCTTTTCGGCACTGGAGCCTCCAGCCCAACCTCTGGATCTGCGCCACGGCCTTGATTCAGAGCCGTGACGCTTCGAAGGTCTCGGCACAGGCGGGGCGAGATCATGGGGTTGATGATGGTGTAGTAGTAGTAGTAGTTGTAGTAGTAGTTGTAGTAGTAGTTGTTGTGGTTGTGGTTGTGGTTGTAGTTGTAGTTGTAGTTGTAGTAGTAGTAGTAGTAGTAGTTGTTGTTGTGGTTGTGGTTGTTGTAGTTGTAGTTGTAGTTGTAGTAGTTGTAGTAGTAGTAGTAGTAGTTGTAGTAGTAGTTGTAGTAGTAGTTGTTGTGGTTGTGGTTGTGGTTGTAGTTGTAGTTGTAGTTGTAGTTGTTGTAGTTGTAGTAGTAGTAGTAGTTGTAGTAGTAGTTGTAGTAGTAGTTGTTGTGGTTGTGGTTGTAGTTGTAGTTGTAGTTGTAGTAGTTGTAGTAGTAGTAGTTGTTGTTGTGGTTGTGGTTGTGGTTGTAGTTGTAGTTGTAGTAGTAGTAGTAGTTGCAGTAGTAGTAGTTGCAGTAGTAGTAGTAGTAGTAGCAGGAGTAGTAGTAGTAGTAGTAGTAGTAGTAGTAGTGTAGTAGTGTAGTAGTGTAGTAGTGTAGTAGTGTAGTAGTAGTAGTAGTAGTAGTAGTTGTAGTAGTAGTAGTAGTTGTAGTTGTAGTTGTAGTTGTAGTAGTAGTAGTAGTTGCAGTAGTAGTAGTAGTAGTAGTAGTAGTAGTAGCAGGAGTAGTAGTAGTAGTAGTTGTAGTTGTAGTTGTAGTTGTAGTAGTTGTAGTTGTAGTTGTAGTTGTAGTAGTAGTAGTAGTTGTAGTAGTAGGTAGTAGGTAGTAGGTAGTAGGTAGTAGGTAGTAGGTAGTAGGTAGTAGGTAGTAGGTAGTAGGTAGTAGGTAGTAGGTAGTAGGTAGTAGTAGTAGTAGTAGTAGTAGTAGTGGTAGTAGTAGTAGTAGTAGTAGTTGTAGTTGTAGTTGTAGTAGTAGTAGTAGTAGTTGCAGTAGTAGTAGTAGTAGTAGTAGCAGGAGTAGTAGTAGTAGTAGTAGTAGTTGTAGTAGTTGTTGTTGTTGTTCTTCTTCTTGTTCTTGTTCTTGTTCTTGTTCTTGTCGTTGATGAATTGTTAAGTTGTTTTCTAAATATTGTTGGATTTATATGGCTTTATGTAATGAATATATATATATACGTATATATATATATACGTATATATATATAGGGATTTAATCTGATAGAATGAGGATTTAATGAGGAGATAGCGGATGTAAGTATAGATAAAACATGACCAGCAACAATGGGATATTGATATTGCCAATGGAATATCAGTATTAGTTATATAGATATGATTAGATTCCCTGCCCCCCAATGCTAAAATGGTGGTATAACCAGATTATCATGGGATTCAGTATTATTGTTGATGATGATCAGTTGTTACTGGAGATACCTAACAATAAGGATCGGATTTGACCATCAACAATTAGAGGATATATAGATCTAGATAGATCAGTCACAACTATTTGGGGTAATTTTGTAGTATTTGCTAATATTTGGCTGAGCTGTTTGAATTGGAAGTAATTGGTTACTGGCCATTTGGGTTTATCTGAAATTTTAGGGGAACCCTAGCCCTAGCCATTTGAGTTTGTCTGAACCATCATTTGTCTTCATATGGCCATTCGGAGGTATACCACATGGACACATCCGTATCATACGTGATTTGCGATATCACATGGGTCAGAAAATTGGGTTCTAATGGGACATAATGACATAATGGGACATATGATGATCAACCTTTGGAAATTTGGGGTTCCCAATTTTCAGTCAAACCCATGTTACCAGTAAGAGTCGTTTCCAGATGTGGAATTTTGTTTGATCATGTCAGAGATTTGATTGAACTGAAGATATCTGAAGATATTTATCTGAATTTTGGGATCTTCACAAATCTAGGAGCTGTATATAAATATGTCCTTTTTCGCATCCACAAAAACCTCGTTTTACCCGTTGTTTTTCAGACAAAGCCGAGAACTGTACCAAAAACCTGATGTTTCCTATCAACTGCCAAGTCAAGGCTGCCAAGTCAAGGCTGCCCGCGATGTGTTTTTTAGGCAACAACCTTTTACAACTTTTATAGTGCATATAATTGACAATTATAATATAATGGATGTATATACATGTACCTTTTTGGTGTATATACTGATGTTGCTATAACCTATAATCACCTTATTGTGTTGTGTATGTGTTATATATCAGATGTCGATGGTTGATTATAGATCCTATTCTATTGTTGGAGAATGTTAGATTGTTAGATGAATCCCAACGAAATCTCCCCATAGCCGCCAGGTGGGGGTTGGAGAGCATCCGGAGGCTGCACCTTTCACACGCGCCTTGTTGCGAGCTGGACGCTTGCTGGTGGTGCCTCGGTGAGACGCCGGAATTCACATGAAATTCTACGGGGAGTTCATGTTTCAAAACCCAGATTGGGGATTGATTCAATTCAATGGGAATTCCAGGATCCTAAAATGGAGGTACGTTAGTACCATATTTCTGGCCATATTTTGTGGGGATATTCCCTTACATAGACCTTATATATATAGGCCTTATATATGGAATCGGCACCTCCAATCAATTGGTTCCTGAAATGGCCATTGATCAATCACATATGTCTATTTCTATATAGATGGGTGTTATGTTTTTCTGAAAGATCGGGGATTGAAGATTGGTGAGCATAGGCGGTTTAGATATGATTTCATGGGAATTTGACCATCGGAAATGGGGAGGTGAACCACCTGGTGGCAAATTTGTGGGATACAATGGGGATGTAAAGTTTGCTACAATGGGGACATAATGGGCACAATATGTATATATATATATTTACAGGTTGGTGGTTTGGAACATGAATTTTATTTTCCATAATATATGGGATGGGATAATCCTTACCATTGACTTTCATATTTTGCAAGATGGTTATTGCACCACCAACCAGTATATATATATATGTATATGGATAAATTACTGTTTCGCGACCTCACCGAAATGATGGTACGTAAGGGGCATTGTGCCCAATTGGCCCAACGTTTTAGCAATATGATATGATATAGTTTAAGCAATATTAATGATATAGTTTCAGCAATGAGATAGTTAGTCAGAAACTGGGACTATCTCATGATATGGGCTATTTAAATTTTATATCATTAATGAGATAGTTTCAGCAATATGATATGATATAGCCTGTCCAACCAGTCTCCTATGAACTGGGTATGACTTCGATTGCATAGCTTTTGATGTATATATAATATATAAACATTCTATATCATATATTCTGCATATGTATATGTACCATTATGTGCTTTATACAGAAATGTATATGCACTACTCAACTTGTTGTTTTTTTGCAGACTATTTCCAAGATTAGCCATGTGAATTCTGAACAGGACAACCTTTACCATCAAATGCAACCACTGAGTGGCGTGGTGTTGGGGGGCGCTTTGAGATCATGAGCCCAAAGATGAAGGAACCCTGGAACCAGCTGGCAGTTGCTGTGAGTTTACGTCCTGTAGAAATTTAGAAGATTTAAGGCTGGTAAGGATTTCAGTCGCACATGTCCACCATCCATTTTCTTGGCAAGTAAGGGAAGAAGAACCACAAGGACCAACCGTAATGGACCAACCGTAATGGACCAAGTTTTTGTTGGTTTCCTGTCCCCTGCTTCCAGTTCAATTCCATCAATTTCTTGCTTCATATCCCCAGTTTCACTGTTAAATGCACCACCTTTTTCCTGTTGAATCCTCCACGTTGTAAGCATTCGCTGGCAACCTTTCACCAGCCAATCATGTCGGCGGTGGGTGAAGGGGGGAAGCCGCCGTCAAGTAGAGGTACGCAATCAAGCGGTGAATCTCTTTGAGAGGATTTGGCCGCTTGACTGAAGATTGTCCCTCCGATCCCAGTGATTTCAGTGGCAGACATATGGGCAGTGCAGTGGCAGCCCCAATTTTAGTGCAGAGTTTTTTCTTACTATAAATCTGTCCTGGTCGGTGGTTTGGAACATGAATTTTATTTTCCATTTCATATATGGGATTAATAATCCTTCCCATTGACAAACTCCATCATTTTTCAGAGGGGTTGGTTGAAACCACCAACCAGATATATTAACCATTATGAACAGTATATTAACCATCTATGGGGTAATATATGGTTATTATATGGTTCAATGGGTAATATATGGTTATATGGGGTAATATATGGGTAATATGGGTCATCATAGGTATATTAATGGGTAACCATATAATAACCATATATTACCCATTGAACATTTATGGGGTCAGCATACATCGTGGCATCGCCTGGGATCGCTCGGTTTTTCTCGAAACCTGACCCGTCAACCCGAAACCGGTCACTGTTTGCATGCAGGAAAACAGATTGGAAGATATATTATAATATATATATACCTATTATAGATATATATAGATATATACATATTATATGTACATATTATATAGATAATTTTTTAATTGGAAGAAGGCTATGGCATACGAAAGCGTTTGCAGCGCACTGTTCTGATTGTTGAATGGACCCAAGACCAGCCCATTGATAAACTCCAAGGTGCTGTTGGGAACTCTTCAAAGCCTACGAGTTTCTTGGAAGATCCAAGAAAGTAGCAGATGAAGCCATTCAAGTCGTGTTGCCTGTTGAAGCTTACACTTTTTCCGAAAAAAATTGAACTCCCAGAATTTTTCATAGAAGTTACCCATTCAACAGAATTTCTTCTGCAACTCCTTTTTTTTTTCCCTCAACTCCCGGAGCTGCATCCCACTTTAGGATCGGGCTGGTGGCCACCCCGGGAGCCTTGATGATCACCGGTCCGGCGGATACCAACATGGCGCCCGTGAAGATCCAACAAGCCTTGGCTTCGGACCCTGAGGACCTGTGGGGCTTGGAAAATGGATGGATGGATGGAATGAAGTGGGGCTCAATGGCATTGGAAAATGGTGGAAAATGGCTTGGAAAATCTGGAAAGTGATGATTTTTGTTGCTTCATATACCATTGATATACCACGGTAATTCAACGAATGGCATTGGAAAAATGGCTTGGTG